GTACATTTTAAAAGTGGTAGTAGTTTTGAAATTATGAATTCTGTATCTCATATACATATTCAATTAGTACAATTCAAAAAGTTAACCATAGTGCTTATAAATAATAAAGCGTAATTCTTGGTGGAGTTGATTGGGTCTATTTTTTATTTAGAAATAGATATAGGCAATTGTCGAAGAAGAAGGGAAAAGAGAGAAAGGAACAGACAAATTCAGAAATGGAAAAGTGGTTTGTTGTTAGGGGTGACAATCGGTAAATGGTTTATCGTTTTACCAAATCGGTAACCGGCGGTAAACGATAAACCGTTTATCGACGGTATCGGCTGCCGAGGGTCAAATGGGGAAGCTCGGTTTACCGGCCCCAACATTGGTAATACCGACGGTAATTCGGTAATACCGATACCGGACCAGTTAAGACATTAACTAATAACATATACTTCATTATTCACAAATATTACATACATGAATGAAAGTAAGTAGGTATAGGCCTTAAAAATATTATAAATAAGAGTTAATAATAATGTATTAATTACAAAAATGAAGAAAAAACTCATAAAAATCAAAATATTACAACATCACTCCGTTGCCCAGAAATTCGGTTCGGTAATTTTCCGGTAAACCGAACCAAAAAACCGTCCGCAACTACTCTTTACGGTAAGTCGGTAAAACCGATTTGTAACCGTTTACCGGTAATTCGGTAACCGGTAAACCGATTACAAACCGATATCGGTAATCGATTCCCACTTACCCACACTCTGTATACCGAAAACCGTTAAAGTCGGTAACCGGTTTACCGGTTACCTACCAAATACCACCCCTATTTGTTGCTACTTGCTGGGCTAGGATTTAGGAATAGAAGTAAATGTTCCCTTTCCCTTACCATTTTTTCTTTTTATTCTCTTTCTTTTTTTTAGTTTCTTACGTTAGGTAAGTTCAGATTTTTATAAAAGGAAAGACAACTTTAAAGGTAAAAGTCATCAAAACCGCCGGTTCGAGTTTGCCGGTTCTGCCAGTTATCTGGGTGAACCGGTTAATATCGTTTTTGCATTGTCAAGACCGGGATTATGAACGGGTCCGGTTTTTTCGATCAGACCGGCCGGTCCGGAACGGTTTTGACAACAGTGGAAAAAACAATACTCATTTTTATTGCTAAAAATAAAAAATTAACAATAAACTAATGCATGGTATCTAATGGGCTAACCGCTAACCATAAAATAAAAGAGTTGAATGAGTCTGACCTACACAGGATTTGGCCATCAAGTAAAACAAATGAACATCATTGGTTTGCCATTCTAAAATAAGCTATTTTCTCTGGCATAATATATATTATGGTATTATTTTATATCTTAGTGGCTAAAATTATATAATGTATTTTAAAGTTATTCAATGGTTCAACCTCGACCAACCCAATTAGTCCAATTTTTATCATTTCAAATATATATTATATAATTATTTGATATCATAATGATCAAATTATAGTGTATTTTATAGGGAATCGTTTGGTATTTGTTAGTAAAAAACTAAAAAGAAAGATCTATTTGGTTATTTTAAACATTAAAACGACCCTAAGCATTTTCACTTCCTTTTGAAATTTATGGTTTTATCCCCAAATAAGTGATGTGCAAATGGCGAATTGTAGTCATCTCTTTTCTTTCACTATTTTTTATTTTCATATAGAAAGTTTAAAAGTAAAGAATAATTAGAATTTGGCATGGGTCGGTCAAACAGGCTGAATTTCAAGTTTTGGCTCGTTTTGATCAAGTCTAATTTATAATCACGAGGTTCCCTGATACAAGATAAAAATCTCAATACAAACTAGTTTGGCAGGTGAGTCCGTGTTTACCACCATTTTCTAGGGATACGACAACGGCAGTTCCTATCCCAAATCGTGTTGTTCGTTCTTGATTTCCTTAGATTTTATCATGGCCTGACAAAAACGAGAAAGCACAATGACGACAAGATGAAAGTTTTATAAAGCAAATTAATCGGCCAACTGGCCGAGTACAAGCTAGCAACGATTGTGAGATGCTCATTTCCCGAAAACCGACGAGATAGGCGATTTTTATTCGATTTTCTGAAATTCGGTTTCAATAAACTTACTCCACCTCATCATATTACCAGAAACAATATTGTTTCACAAGGTACGTAACAAGTACTTGATTTTGGTTCATAAGGCCGATTTTTGATTCGTTGCATCATTCATGTCTCTTTCCTACTAAAATTCACTATTTTTATCACGTGTTTCCCAAAAAAAAACTATACAACAATAAGCTATACACCCCATTACATTATCAAATTTCATACTTCACCTTCCTCCTGCCAACTGGCCGAGGCCCACACTAGTAGTTTTTATTATTATTATTATTATTATTATAAGTAACTCAGATAGTGATGGCAAAGGGGTGGGGTGGGCAGGTATTTCAATGTCTATACTCGTTTTGTACTAAGCGTTTGTCAAGTGAGGTAATACTCATGCAGGTGAAGGTCGACTCATTTTTATATGTTATTTAAAAAAATGTTAATATGTAATTATTTTACAAGAACCCATAGGGAAACACTTTATAAATGAACAAGAAATATAGTAAAAGTAATAATTGAGAAAATAGTTGAAAGATAGAGCCTTAAAATTTCTTTGGGATGATAATATGATTTTAGAAAGATCAAAAGAGGGAAATACACGTAGACATTGATGCAACATCATGATAAAACGGGTCGAGAAGACGGGAACTATGCAAAATGAGGCAAATCAGAAGTAACACTCATGCTATGCCCCAGACTACTGTGATTCGGATAACACTCGCTCCAAACAGATCGGGTCAGCACGAATCACGTGAATCAGGTCAGGAATTGACATATTGAATTGTATTTTTATTTATTTACGTTGGGGACTTTGTCATTTACAGGATTGTTTACCATTATTAACCAAAATACATACCCATTTGTTCATCCAATACGAAATTCTGCATATATTGCAAACGGACAACCAAACCATGCCATCACAACTGAGCACTCCTTTCCCTTTTTCCTGCAGATGATCATAGAAAAAAAGTCCACCCAATTTTCAGAAAAATACAATAGTCCATTGTTCATCCAAATCAAATTTCTGCACATTTTGCCAAGGCGCCAAACCATGGAAAATCTAATCAATTTGAAATTTTTCATTACCAAAGAAATGGACAAAGCAAGTTTTGCTTTCATTTAGGGTGGATTTATATATTGAATTAGGGGTCGTTTGGAAGTTGCGATTGTTAAATAGATGTATTGTTGAGAATGCACGTATAATATTATACATGTATTGTCGAATTTGATGCATTGTAGAATACAACGTTTGGTATGTGTGATTGTGTATGTCGCATCAGCTAAAAGCTGAGACAAAACAATCTCAACTCAACTATCTCAACAATCACAACTAAAAGTTGAGATATAACAATCACTCAAAATGAGTGATAGTTTCTGTCACATCATAGAAACAATCCATGTATTGTTTCTACTAAAAAAACAAAAAAAATGATGCATTGTAAACAATACATGCATAATGACAATCTCAACAAAACAATCGCAACTTCCAAACGACCCCTAGATATGCGTGAATATCAGAATGTCTAGTATTTATTGGTATCATAGATTGATGCACTTGTTGGATTTGTATAACTCTGCATCGTTCCAATTTTAATTTATACAAACTGCATCAGATATCAAATTTATATCGTACATAGTTCATGTACATGAAATCATCTACATAAAATGAATGGTGGGATAGTTTTTTCCCTCATACACATATCTTAAAAAGGAACTAAATCATAAAAACAATAATCCAGATTTAAAATTCTAAACTAGTTCATATCAACTTAATTAAAAAAAGATTGTTAATTAATAATCTACCATTAAAACAAAACAGCCCATGCTATCAATAATAACAAGTCATTTCCTGTTTCTATCCCATGGGATACAGAGCTCACCAAAAAACGCTAACATGGACGAAGAAGCAAGCAAACATCAGAAACACACTTCTCGTCCTCCTAAACTGCTCGCTACTCGCCGTCGGCGCAGTTGGCAGCCAACTCCTCTCCACAGCGGCGAATCCAGAACACAGAAGTGCACTGGGCCGCATTTTATTAGAAAATTAGAATAGTAAAAAAAATATAATGATTATAATTTTTTTACAATGTAAATTGTACACGACGGTATTTTAATTTAGCGAATGCATTAATAATGGAGTCCACATCCATACCAATAGTATACACTGTTTCAAATAAAATACTTGAGCAATCGACTAGAAATCCATCGCTCATTTTGTTGCACAAATCAATTTTCACATGTTTCGTTGTTGAAAAGGTTCTATTCGTATTAGCTGTTGAAACGAGCAGCATCAACACTAGACAAATCAATCTACTAATCAATTTGCATTGTGTTTCCATCCCTATATCCACCAGCTGCTCTAGTAAATTTTCCAAGGTAACAAACCCCATATATGTTTTAGTCTTTTACGTTTTAAACTTTTTGAATTTTTAGGTTTCATTGTTTTTTTAGACGAATAACCTTTGGGGTTAGAATTTATAAGCTAAATTTAGAGTAGTGATTTTGAATATGTTTATCTGAATTATTTTTGTAATTATACCCAATCTTATTTTAAAATAACAACGACCCTAATATCTAAAATCGAAAAATTCATAAGGCCTATACAACTATGGATCCAGAGGAGGGCTAGGCCGGGGCCCGGGGTGGCCACCCCCTGGATCCGCCACTGATGAGAAATACGCCATGAAAGATGTAGCCTCGAACTAACTCAATCTCAACATATGCATATTTTGATAAAGTTATTTATAGAAACACATCCAATAAACCGAATAAACATGAAAAATTCATGTTTATACCCAATCTTATTAACGACCCGAATATCTAAACTAAAAAAATTCATAAGGTCTATACTAACTATGGATCCAGAGGAGGGCTGGGTCGGGGCCAGGGGTGGCCACCCCTGGATCCGCCACTGCCTCTCCAGAATGTACTTCCTCCACGGCGGCCACAAGCGGTGGCTCTCAGCCTTCACGGTAACCACCGGCTTTCCAATCCTAATCCTCCCCATCGCCGTCTCCTACAAACGCCACCGTTTCCTCATCACTACCCGGCTCGCTGCCGCGAGTGGGCTTTTGGGCCTCTTATTGGGCTTCAACAGTTACCTCTACTCCTTCGGCACCGCCTACCTCCCCGTCTCCGTCGCTTCCCTCGTCGGCTCTTCCCAGCTGGCATTCACCGCCGCCTTCGCTTTCCTCATAGTGAAGCAGCGGTTCAACCACTACACCGTGAACGCCGTCGTTTTGATGACGCTGGGCTCGGCGGTCCTCGGATTCCACATGGACGGCGACATCCCCAAGGGGGAATCAAAGGGTAAATATGCATTGGGCTTCTTCATGACCATTGCCGCCTCTGCCACGCATGCTCTGTTCATGACTCTGCTTCAGTATACTCAGGGGAAGGCTCGTGTCCCCGTCGATTACGTCGTCGTGTTGCAGGTTCAGCTCGTCATATCCATGGTTGCTACCCTCTTCTGCGTCGTCCCCATGATCATCAATGGTGACTTTCAGGTAGACTACTGTCCATTGTGACACAATCAAATTTTGTTGTCTCCTTTTCTTTTTCTTTTTTCTAGTAGATTTTGTTATGCAATGGTGAATTTGTGTCCTGCAGAATCTAGCCAGGGAAGCAGCAGAATTCCGCCTCGGGGAGAAGAAGTACTACATGATTGTAGTACTAGCAGCCATTGGACTTCAGGTTATGATAATTGGGAGCCTTGGATTGGTTCTGTGTTCTTCGTCCCTAGTAGACCTTAGATGCGCTTTATACTTTTTGTCAATGTTTTTAATTTCCAACAACACAAACTGCAGAAATGCAATGTAACAGTGTAAAACCAGAAAAACAGAATGGTAGAAGAACAGTTTTGAACACAAACAGTGGCTGAGCTTCAGTGCATCAGATCCACTTTTCCATTTCATTTTTAGATCTGTTCTCACACATTACACCAAAAGGAAGGGGCATCAACTTTTTAAAGGCTCAACAACAAACCCTAGGTTGATCTGCAACTACTAAAACAAACAAACAAAAGCTTAAAAACAAAACCAAGTACAAGGGTCACTTTCAATGTTCCCTAGAAACAAAACAAGAAGAGGCATTGGCAAACATGCCCTTCACAGTGGTCCCTCAACATCCTTAGCTTCAATCCAAAGTTGCAGACAGTCCAAAACATCTTCCAGCTGGTTCCATCTTCATCTTCATCTCTTTCATGCAAGCTTTCTCTGTTTTCTCTGTTTCTTCAGCAACACTCTTCATTTCTTGTGCTCCAAGGCACAGATAGGTTGAGAGTGATCCACCTAGTGACATATTGCAACACTCCTCCTTGCCAATGCCACTGATCATTCCAACCATGGTTTTCAAATCTTCAAACCTTGGTTTGCTCAGTGCCTTGGTAAAAATGTCAGCAGACTGGTCTTGTGTAGAGCAGTGTTTCATAGAGATCAATCCTTCTGCTTCAGCCTCTCTAAGCACATGATACTTGATTTTAATGTGCTTAGTTCTTCCATAGAACACTGGATTTTTAGTTATGGCCACATCAGACTGATTATCACACCAAATGACAGTCGGTTTTGTTTGCTCAAAACCCAAATCTGCCATGATTTTCCTCAACCAAACAGCATGGTTGGCAGCTTCTGAACCAGCAATGTACTCAGCTTCAGCAGTTGACTGAGCTACAATGCTTTGTTTCTTTGAACTCCAACAAAAGATTACAGATCCCAGTGAGAAGGCAAAACCAGAGGTGCTTTTCATGTCTTCAGAAGATCCTGCCCAATCACTATCACGGAAACCTTCCAAACACACTTCCTTACCCCCTTCAAACTTCAAACCAAGATCAGTGGTACCTTTGATGTACCTTAGCAGTCTTTTTGCTGTGTTATAGTGGATTTGAGTTGGAGATTGCATAAACCTTGCTAGCAAACCAGAGGCAAACATTATGTCTGGTCTGGTTGCAGAAAGATACAGCAGGCTTCCAATCAAACTCCTGTAGACCTTAGGTTCAAATGAACCTGATCCATCTTCTTTTGTCAATTGAATTTTCACTGGAAGTGGTGTAGCAGCAGCCTTGGCATTCTCCATTCCAAACCTCTTTAAAACTTCATTTGCATACTTCTTTTGGCATTTTTTTCTCAGTCTGTTCAACTTGAATGCCAAGAAAGTAAGTCATCAAACCCAAATCATTCATCTCAAATTCATTCATCATACTGGTTTTGAAGCCTTCTATCTGCTTCACATTGCTTCCTGTGATCAGAAGATCATCCACATACAGAGAAATCATCACAGTTCCAACCTCATCAGTTCTCACATAGATGGTTGGTTCACTTGGACTCTTAGCAAACCCCAATCTTACAAGATAATCATCAATTATGGAATACCAGGATCTTGGAGCTTGTTTTAGTCCATAGAGAGCTTTCTTCAGTAGGTAGACATGATCTTCTTTCCCTGGAATCTCAAAGCCTTCAGGCTGCTCAACATATATCTCCTCCTGTAAATAACCATTCAGAAAAGCAGATTTCGCATCTAGCTTATGCACTTTCCAGTTCTTCTGAGCAGCAATAGCTAGTAGGAGTCTTATAGTATCTAGCCTTGCCACTGGTGCAAAATTTTCACCATAGTCAATACCAGACTGCTGAGAATACCCTTTAACCACAACTCTTGCTTTGAACTTGTTGAATGAACCATCTGAGTTTAGCTTGATCCTGTAAACCCATTTAGTTCCTATCACTTTTCTTTCAACAGGCCTTTTAACTAGAATCCAGGTTTCATTTTTGTCAATCATTCTGCATTCTTCTTTCATGGCTGAGTTCCAGCCTTCATGCTTCAGAGCTTCCTGAACAGACTTAGGTTCTTCAATGGCCATGTTGCATCTTTCATACACATTGGCCAATGTTCTCATGCCTCTTACAGGCGTGTGATCATAGTTATCATGATCACTCTGATCATCTTCTTCAGACTCCAAATCCTCAGGTTGATCTTGCTCAAGAACATGGTCTTCATCAGCCTGAGGTTCTGGCTCATCATCTACATCTTGGTGATCTTGAAATTGAACTGTCACCAGATCATAGATGTCTTCAGATTCATTTTGAGGAGATGACCAATCATGAGTGGCCTTCTCATCAAAAATGACATCCCTGCTCAATTGGAACTTCTCAGTTGTTGATTGAAGATCCTGTAGGCCTTAGACTCAGTACTGTAGACCACTAGAATTCCCATTTCAGACCTGTGATCAAGTTTGTCCCTTTTTGGAGCTGGAACATGAGAATAACACACAGATCCAAAGGTCCTGAGATGAAATAGACTTGGTTTGAATCCATTCCAAGCCTCATAGGGAGTCATCCCTTTAACTGACCTTGTAGTTAACCTATTGAGCAGGTAGACTGAAGTGTTCACAGCTTCAGCCCAGAACTTCTTAGGAACATTCTTCTCAAACAACAGGCATCTAGCCATTTCCATAACTGTCATGTTCTTTCTTTCACTTACTCCATTTTGCTGTGGAGTATACTTGACTATGAGCTGATGAAGTACACCCTCTGAAGCCAGCAGCTTCTCAAAGGCTAGAGAAGTGTATTCTTTCCCATTGTCAGATCTCAAAATCTTAATTCTTTCATTGCTTTGATTTTCAACCATAGCCTTAAATGTTTGGAATCTGGGAAGTGCTTCAGACTTGTTCTTTAGGAAATAGACCCAGCAGTATCTTGTCAAGTCATCAATGAATAACAAGAAATATCTACTTCCACCCCAAGATTCCATCTTGAAAGGTCCACATATATCAGTGTGAATCAATCCAAGCTTCACAGGAGCTCTCCAAGTGTGTTTCTTAGGAAAGGGCAACCTGTGTTGTTTTCCAAGCTGGCAGATTTCACACACACTTTCATTCAACTCAAGAGCAGGTAAATCCTTTACCAAACCCTCTTGAGCCATTTTAATCATAGTATGTTGACTGAAATGACCTAGTCTACTGTGCCACAAAGCAGATTCATCATTTCTAGTCACTACAGCCATGTTGGCAGTTTTCATTTTCAGGGCAAAACTCCTTTGAATCATAGAGAGATCAAACATTTTATCTCCCTTTGAATCATACACAACACAGGACTTGTTTTGCATTTCCAAAGAGTAACCCTTTTCAAGCATTTGTCCTACACTAAGCAAGTTCTTAGCTAGAGCAGGAACGAATAAAACTTCAGGGATTACCTTAAGTCCAAAGGCAGTTTGCACTTAAACTGATCCTTTACCTTCAACAGATAGTAGATCACCATTTCCAATCTTTACTTTAGACTTGTAGGACTTGTCCAGATCAAGAAAATACTCCTCATTGTTGGTCATATGATTTGTACAGCCAGTATCCAGAAGCCAGTCCTCACTGCTGCTTGTAGCTGTGAAACAGGTAACCATAAACATCCCTTCTTGCTTGTTCTGTTCATTGGCTTCTGCAACAGCCACTTGTTCCCTGATACTCTTGTTTTTGCAGACCTTTTCAACGTTCCCTAGTCTTTTACATGACCTGCACTGCACATTAGGTCTATACCAGCAGTAGTTCTCAGTATGATTAGTTTTCTTACAGATGGGACAAGGAGGATAGACCTTCTTTTCAATTGGTTTTTCAGTCTGCTCCTCCTTACCCTTTTTCTTCTTTCCAGGAGTTTTCTTGACTCCAAAACTTTGCCCTTTTGCCTTTTGTTGTCTTACAACCAAAGCTTCTTCCGAGTTGTCATCATTTCTGATGGAACTCCTCAACTCAGTTGCTTGCAAAGAGTTGATCAGCTGAGTTATGCTCAGTGTAGACAGATCTTGAGTTTCTTCCAGAGTTGAGATCTTAGCCTCAAATTTTTCAGGCACAGTGACTAAGATCTTCTCAACAACCCTAGAATCATCAAAAGTCTCACCAAGCAGCCTTAGTTGATTCACATTTTTCATGATTCTATCCAGATAGTCCTTGATACTTTCACTTTCTTTCATTCTCAGACTTTCAAACTCTCTTCTCAGATTCAGAGCTTGCATTTGCTTACCTCTGTCAGACCCTTGGAACTCTTCTTGAAGTTTGTCCCAAGCTTCCTGTGCTGTTGTGCAAGTCATGATTCTGGTGAAGACTTCCTCAGTGACTGCAGCATGGATGTAGGTAAGAGCTCTGTGGGTTTTAGCTACCTCTTCAGCATATCTGGTTTGCTGATTTAGAGAAGCATTTGCTGGAAGTGGATCCACCACTCTTCCATTCACAGGCTCCATATGTCATTCCCTTGCATGAATGACTTCATCTTAACAACCCAGATCTGGTAGTTTTTACCATTGAAAACTGGGGGTGAGGTCAGAGAGAGGCCAGTTGAAGTCATTTCTGAGTAACTTGCAACTGGCAGAGGTCAAGAAAAAGAAAAAGAACACTCAACCCTCACAAAGCCTCACTGATTCACTCCAAAGAAAAAACCTCACGATCCCTTTCAAAGATCAAGAGGGCTCTGATACCACGTGTTGTTTAAACACAATGTTTTTAATTTCCAGCAACACAAACTGCAGAAATGCAATGTAACAGTGTAAAACCAGAAAAACAGAATGGTAGAAAAACAGTTTTGAACACAAACAGTGGCTGAGCTTCAGTGCATCAGATCCACTTTTCCATTTTGTTTTTAGATATGTTCTCACACATTACACCAAAAGGAAGGGGCATCAACCTTTTAAAGGCTCGACAACAAACCCTAGGTTGATCTGCAACTACTAAAACAAACAAACAAAAGCTTAAAGACAAAACCAAGTACAAGGGTCACTTTCAATGTTCCCTAGAAACAAAACAAGAAGAGGCATTGGCAAACATGCACTTCACAGTGGTCCCTCAACATCCTTAGCTTCAATCCAAAGTTGCAGACAGTCCAAAACATCTTCCAGCTGGTTCCATCTTCATCTTCATCTCTTTCATGCAAGCTTTCTCTGTTTTCTCTGTTTCTTCAGCAACACTCTTCATTTCTTGTGCTCCAAGGCACAGATAGGTTGAGAGTGATCCACCCAGTGACATATTGCAACACTTTTTATGCCATTTTGCGTATTTCTTCATATCTTCAGATAAAATCAAACTTAGAATGAATTGTGAAGCAAAGAGGGACCAGAAAGAAACAAAGTCGCAACCCATTATTAGAATGCCTTATGGTCAAGGTCAACTAGCATGGTTGTCAAACCGGGGTCGGTCTGGCCGGTTTGACCGGGTTGGGCCTGAACCAGACACCAAAGGGGCTAGAGACAATCATATTTTGAGCTGACCGGTCAAAGCCAGTCAAGATCAGTTAAAATCGGGGTCTGACCGGACTTATCCGGCTACCGACTATTATGGATATGATGACGTTTTGGGATTTTCTCATCTAACCCTAAAGAGCCAACTCTGACTCCCTCCCTTCCGTCGAGCGAGGTAGCAGCCGAGTTGTCGCTCTCGTCTCTCCTCCGTCTCCTCCAAAATCACCTCCTCCTTTTGCCGACATTAAATCTCGGCCCCAGCATCGGCGCCTCTCCCGTCTCGATGCCAGTTCCCCGCTTCTCGATACAGCTTGCCGCCCACCGCCACGACGTCAGCTCCCCGCACCTCGACGCTGCACCCCTGCCGCCGCCTCGAAGCCGCATCGCACCGCCGCCTCGACGCCAACTCCCCTCAATCGGCCACTCCGGTGGCTTCTGTTAGGTATTTCTTAACAGTGGGTTTTTCTTCTTCTTGAGATAGAGAGAGTAGAGGAGAAAGGAAGATAGATGATTTGTTGGGTTCTCAAATTGATCACTTGTTGTAGTTGTTAATTAGAGTGGAATGCGACAGGTTGATAGATGATTTTTTTTAAGAAAGGGTTACCTTTTTCATGTCCACATAAATGGTTATAGATGAAGTTGATTATGTTTTGTTGTGTAAATTGCTTAATTGTTTTAATGCGAGGATTGATAATTTATATAAATTTAGGTTGTATTGAGAATTTGAGATTGTATGATGTTATATATTTTGTCAAAACCGGCTTAATTCGGTTAAACCCCAATCCGACCATTAAACCTCAAACCCCCTGTCAAACCGATTTGACGACTTAATCCGGTTTGACAACCTTGTCAACTAGGCTAGCATTGCCCAAATCGTCTCAAATTTTACAGAGAGACTTGTGAGCCTCGAAAGACCATGTTCACATAAAATAAGCCCAATGGGAGCACAAGTTAGTCAATGGCGATCCAGACATCTGTTGACCTTGACGCTCTTAGAAACTTCCAACCGACTTTGAGACAAGCTGTGTCTAGTGAGTATGTGTTAGTACCTTAGAATTCAAGTATAGGGGAGTTGGTATAAATTGGACATCTTGAGTTTTGTTGTAATTTGTAAAAGCATATTGGATTTAATAGATCAGAGTATCTACATGTGTTGGGGTAACCACGAATATATTCAAGCCATAGTCTAAACTTTGTCGTTTGTTTTTGTGGGAGATAAGGAGTTATCGATGTCTCCAATTATGGTGATGCATGCTTATCGATACTAGTTAAGTCTGCAATACTATTTAATTAATATATATTATTTATATCAACTGCATGTGTGTTTGACATGACCACGCACATATATTTTATTAGTGTCGTTACTCATGCGTGTTGGACTTGAGGTGACAATCTAAATTCAATCCATCAATCCAATTCATCAATTAAAATCCAATTATTTTAAATTCATTTAATCCAAATCTAACTGGATTTTGCAGATTCATGATTGAACTTATGGATATTTGAAAAATTATAGTTTAGTATCTATATTTTTATTTTATTTTTACATATTATACCTAAATTTTAATTTTTTAAGAATATATTATTCAAGAAGTACATTTTGGTACCTAAATTTTTTATAATGACATTTTAGTACCTAATACAACTAGGATCTACTCCCTAAGAACAAGGGGTGTTTAGCACCACATATAGAGGGAATACATTACCGAGATTGATAGCATGATGATGACTTCTTATCTTCCACGATATGAAAGATGTGGAAAGTACAAATACACACCTATGGACTAACAATCGCAATTTGGACAGATAGTTAACATTTCTATCGTACTAAGATTTCATCAAATAGATATGGATTTATTGATATAAACTAAAATGGGGAAGTAAAAATATCACTTTTTTAAGTGTTCTCAAATTGTCCATGCTTTTAGACTTGATTCTCCCTAAGCAAGGACAATCCACAATCCTACAAATCATTGAACACCAAAGACCACACTTGGATTCACTAAACCAAATAGTATTTTTCAAAGACTATTTAACATCACTTTACAAATATTTACCGCACAAATTTGTGTTCGTCAAAATGAACATTGGATGAGCGTATTTGTTAAATTGAGATAATGCAGGGACTAATTTAATATTTTATTCCGCCAGGGCGAGTTCGTTAAACTCGGTAGTTGTGAACCTCGGTGAGTGACTCGGCACCGAAAGACGAAATAATTTCTCGTTCAATTTAGCTCGCCCGGAGTTCGTCGGCCTCCGTTGCTTTCCCTCGCTTCTACCGCCATCTTCCACTGGCAGAGACTGATCGGAGCTGGGGTTATAACTGTAGTTCAACTAGGGAAGAAAACCGGAGGGCTGATAAGTTCAGCCTCGCCGTCAATTCCACTTCGTCTCCAGTGGTATCTTTTTCTGATTCCTTCTTTGTCCTCTGATAACGACGATTCGAAATTCAAAGTAGAGTAGGCATCTGTTACTTGTTGCTGGTGTAGGATTCATCTTTGAAATTGTCCTGGCTAGATGCTGGGAGTGCTTCATTTAGGAACAGTTCCGATTATGGAGTGATTTAGTGACAACTGTTCTTGGTTAGTTGAAGAAACGTGGTCCGGCTTGATTTTGTTTTTTGCTTATTTGAGTATGGGTTCAGCCAGATTGGTAAAAGATGAAAGAAAGGTGTTTGTTTCGACAATCTGCATCTGGTGGATTGGTTGTATTTTTAATCTTCGCATGATTTAGGGCTGCCAAGCTTTATGAGTAGTTTGTAAGTATTCTTTGATTTGTGTAGCATTGTGGCTGAATTTGGTTCCAATCTGGCTTGAAATCAATATGTCAGATTGCACGTAGCGGCGAAAGCAGCTGCTCCATCACTTGTTGTGGTGTCAAAGATGTGTGTATCTGTTGTCATGTTGTTTACCCTTCAAGTGGAAACAAGCAACCATCTTGACTCGTTGCGGTAATGGAAAATATGAGATATAGGATTTGTTTTCTCTATTGGCTTATTTCTTCATTTTCCTCTACAGTGATGTGGAAATGAAAGAAAGGAACACTACTTCAACCCTCAAACGCATATTGGTCAATTGTTCTTCTCAGGTTTGTTACGCTACCAGAACCAGTAATTCTTGGAAATATTGGATTGCTGAACTTCTTTAATGTCATTGTACTATTGCATGATGTCATGGATGATTAGTTGCTTTATGTTTTACACACTAGGTGTTGGATTTTAATGATGAACCTTTTTTTCTGTACAAGAGTATATGCATATTAATATCAAGAACAGATGCACTATCTGGGTTTCTTAATGGATTCCCGCAATACTTAGCGGGAAACAGAAGACAAAGGTTAAAGAAAGTAGGAAGGGGCTGGGGGAGGGAATAGTAATATATATGTGAAATAAGCATGATGCCCAGGAACCGTTTACCTTAAGTTTCTGTATTCCGTTTGCTATTTGTTGCTACAATTCTTTTTTCTGATTGATTTATATTGCAGGCAAAAGAATATGGAGGTTGTGTTGCCAAAAAGGTTCCTGAAGTTGAGCGGGATATGTGTCTGAAGGAATTTCTTGCCCTGAAGAATTGCATGCAGAACGTGGTAGCTTTTTCCCCCATCATAACAATTTATTGTTACATTTATTTTTTATCTGAAAGATGACGACATAATTGTATTATACTGGGTCTAGTTTATTTTCTCAACAGTGGTTGCCTAAGCCGCTGACATCATTATCTAATTATTTTTTGACAGCTTCGAGGGAAAGTTTGAGCTCTTGTAGTGAACTTTTGGGATATGCTCCATAGTAGCATGATTCAAAAGGTATGAGTTTCGTGGAAGTATGCTTCAAGGTTTGTTTTAATCCAATGCTAAAATGACTTCAATTTCTGGCGTAAGTTGTGCGTGTTTCCTCAGCTTCCAGATTTGTATGTTTTCCTTATTTCATGTGGTTTTCTGACAGGAATATTGGAGCTAATGACCTCCGTATGAAGATCCTTCATTGTCAGTTTATAAAAGTGCCTTACTAGTGTTTTCTGATACATAAAAAATTTCAGCATGTCAGCAAATGCATCTAGCTCACAGCTTACTGTTGGGTTAAGTGGCTCTGGTGGACTGTCCCATGCATACGTTCAGTATCCTCCCTTAAAATGTAATCTGCCAGGATCAAGGGGTTTGTATTATGATGATGCAAATAAATTGCTTCTCTCTCCGACTTCTGATCAGGTGGGCACCTCCACTGTCCTATACAGTTTCAACATTATCTGTGTGTTCTTAGTTTCTTTTTAGTTTCAGGTTGACCTTGGTTCTTTCCAGTTCCCATGCCCCTTTCACATGGCTCCTGATGCTTCATCTGTTTTAGGTTTTTTCATGGAAAACTGTTCCCTTTTCTCCTCATGTTGCTGCTACTGCCGACTACATAAATGAAGGCCCCGTCTTATCTATCCGATATTCTTTGGATGCAAAGTCCATAGCAGTCCATCGGTCTAATCAGGAAATACAGTTCTTTCAAAGGGAAACACGAGAAACATTTACTCACATGTGCAAGTCGGAATCAGAGAGCATACTAGGATTTTTTTGGACAGATTGCCCAGTTTGTGATTTGGTGGTTGTCAAAACCAGGTATGAGTCCACTTTCAGTATCTTGTTTTCTTTGAATGCCAGAGGTGAAGTCTCAATTAATCATGTTTTGATTGTATCTGAAACTTCAAAACAAATGATGAAATAGGACTTGAAATAGATATATTTCCCTCATTTTATTGTAGAAGCATAATATACATCTGGTTAAACCCTCCATCGACAGAGGATTTCGCTTTTACTAGTTTTTACGTGGTTTTGTGTTTTCCAAATCATAACATACTGAATTGGCTAGTATAACATCTTTCCCTAAGCTCTTGCTCCAGTGCTAAACGATATAGGTGTCTTTGCAATTTGATGATGTTATATTCTTCTATTGTGGAAAGGGTGTGGTCTTTCAGGTACTTTCAGATGATAATGGTACTCGGATTTTCTTTATTATGACGTTCCTCCTTGCAAATATGGGGGGTTTTTTTACGGTTACTTTGGAAAAGTTATTTGGTAGAGCATTTGGGTATTTTCAGATGTGTAATTGTACTGGGAATTCTACTGTTATGAATGGTCCTCCATGCAAATATGGTGTATTGTTTTTGTTTCTCAGTATAAATAATTTATATCTGCTGCTTCTCCCTTTTCTCCCTTTATTTTTTTCCTTTTCAGCTTTCTTTCTCTCACACTACATTTCCCCACCTTAAGTTCCACTAAAATGAAGTTTTGCCTGCAGTGGTCTGGATTTGCTTACTGTCAGCTTTACTTCGAAATCAGTTAACTTGGTAGAGACAAAGAAGTTGAGTGTGAACTGGTATGTTTATACACATGGCAGTCGATTGGTTCTTCTTGCTTCAGGAATGCAATGCAAGACCCTTACCGGATTCCAGGTAGACGAGAAAAAGCTAACAGTTGATACTGCACTGCACTGTTTTGAAACTCTAGCCATTGTTTTCATTATTCAGTATGGTTAATTCTGATATCAGTTGAAGCGTTTTGCGCTTTCTACAAACCAACTTTATTTTGTGCATGATTGAGTGATGCATCAACATGAGGTTATTATTCCTAATCTGTTTTAGGAAGAGCACTTCAGTAATAACGGCTTATTTTAAATAACCTGTAATCTTGGCTATTTCAGCTTTCATCAGTGGGAATCGTACGTTTGCCAAGGTTTGAGATGGTAATGGCTAAATCTGATGCTAACAGTAAGCCTGTCCTAGCTGCTGAAGATGTTTTTATCATTACCGTGTATGTTAACTTGTCCCCCCTACTCACTCTTCTACCGAGTAATTTAAGTCTTTCAGCTCCGCTCACTATTAATATTTTTTTCTTCTAAATTATCAGCTATGGAAGGATATATTGCTTGCAAATTGACAGAGTTGCAATGCAGCTCCACTCGTATAGGTTTTATCGTGATGCTGTCGTTCAACAGGTAATTGCAGCTTCTCGCACCTCTTGCCATTTTCGGACTTCTAATCTGGAATCAGTTAATTGCATATATACGCTATTGTAAATGGGCTGTAATCTTTGGTACCTTAAGGTATAACTGATCTTAACTGTAAACATTATGAATATTTGGAGAGCAATCTAGGAAGAACAGCTGTTTTACCACAATCTATTACAGGTTCAGAATTTAGCAATACAGAGTAGATATGTATGGCCCCACTGCCAAGGGAGACATGTATAAATCATGTTTGAAGAATCATTCTTCTCCATTTTTATCTTTTAGTAATTAGAAATATACCTCCTGCATTAATGGTGAACGTAATCTATTACATTACTTTTTTTTCTTCTGTAGATTAATAATCCCGTACATGAGTTTTCAACGAACCCGGACACTTGAGTAGCACACATCATTTTATTTTCTTATGAAACAGATCTAGGTTGTGTACCTTTTTATTTTCTCCAATGCAATTCCTGCTGCCATTTTGAACATACTACAAAATTATTTATGACTGAAAGCATCTGTAAATGTCGGTATGACTTTTGCAGGGTTCCCTGCCAATGTTCTCAAGCAAGATCTCTGTTAGTGTGGTTGACAATGTCCTACTCGTTCATCAAGTAGATGCAAGAGTTAGTATACTGTATGACATATTTGAAGATTCTCGAGCCCCTATATCTGCCCCTCTTCCTCTGCTGCTTAGAGGTTTACCTCAATCCCATACTGGCCGGCCAGTTAATGCGGGTGAAAGTTTAGATCGAAACTCAAGTAATCACGAATTGATGTTTTATGGAGACGACTGGACCTTTCTGGTCCCCGACCTTATATGTGATGTTGCTAGCAAGTCAGTATGGAAGATTCATCTGGACTTAGAGGTGTGGTTTCCCTGTTTAATATTGCATATCCTTTTTCAGCATAAAAAGTGGGTTTGAAAGTAAATGTTTTAGCTCATTTGCCATGCAGGTTATCTCCTCAAGCAGCTCTGAAGTTCCATCAAATCTAGAATTCTTGCAGAGAAGGAAGCTGGAAGCAAGCAAGGTACACAATTCATGACCTTGTGTTATTTTTAAGAGCTTGCGAAATGACTACTGATATCATTATTCTGTTTACTTTGAAAACCTGATGCATGAAGGACTTCATAATGAAAATCCTTCATGAACTTGAGTTATTTTGACAAGCTTCGCTATTGTTGTTTCAGACTAAACAGTTGTGTTTGGCAATAACACGTGCCTTTATCTTGGAAAGGAGGCCAGTAACCATGGTTTCAAAAGCAATAGACGTGTTAGTCTCATCTTACTCCCATTCCGTAAAAACATGTAGCAATCTCAAAGAAACAAAAGTGGATGAAGCCTCAGCTTCTGTTGGGACAAATGCCAGTAACTCAAGTAGATCAGCGAAAGATGAGTCTAGGGTTGGTGTCGGGGACAAATCCTTTAATCTTTCAGCTTCAGATTCAGATGATCAATCACGGGAAATAGACTCCAGAGATCTTCAGAAATCAGGGAAGGAGAACTTACTAGGTGCTGAAAGCTCTAGGGGTGAAGTCCAGTCATCATCTTTATACACTCAGCAACTTGGATTGGGTAATAATCAATTAAATGCTAACAATTCCGAGAGGCAGGATTCTCAGCTTACTTCACCGGCAATTTCACCTGATGAGATGTATAGTTGTGTGTTTGTTCCTGTTGGAGAAAAGATCGTGGGAGATCCCTCATACTTGGTTGCCATAATAGTCGAGTTCCTTCGAAGGTATGAGCTAGACCATCTGGTATAATGGAAGCCAGTTGAACTGCCTTGTGTGAGCTGTATTGTTCTTAAGAGTTGACAGTTCATATTTCTTCCATTGTCACAGCACGAATTCAGAGAAGATTAAGGTTCGTCCAAACATATATGTGTTCACTATACAGCTTCTAGTACGCTATGAAAGGTTTGCAGAGCTGTCCCTATTGATCATAAACAAGGTAAGAATTACCTGATAGCTGTGCCTTTGTGAGGTCTTGAAAGGTCTTGGTCATTAACAGGGTGTCCAAGATGATTTGTTTTCAGGTTCTTGAACCCTCAAAGGAAGTGGCAATGCAGCTCTTGGAATCAGGTCATCAGAATCCTCAAACGAGGAAGCTGGCCTTCGACATGTTGCGACAGCTCTCTTTGCATCACGATTATGTGACTTTGCTTGTGCAAGATGGTTGTTATCTTGAAGCTTTGCGTTACGCAAGGAAGCATAAGGTAATCTTTAGAATCTTAATCAAGGAGTGAAACTATAAAGTATTCCGTATAGTAAAATTAAGGGCTGTGTGACACAGGTGGTAACCTTCAATCATACTATCCAGAACTTTCTTTTATGTAGCAGTTTTTCTCAGTAACCTCCGCATGCATTTTTAGAAATCAAATATAACCTTAAAACTGGGAGTCGATCCGGTTTCAATTTTCTGGTTACGCTGACCAAAGCGTTTAGTTGCCCCTATCAATAGGAACCCTCTACATTTACAAAATTTTCGTAAAGGTGGATACCTCTTTCAATGAGGAATTTGGATTTCTGGTTATGGAACACAATAGTCTATAGACAAAGCTGCCAACCAACTCCCTGCAAAATCTGGATTTCGTTAGTGTCCTATGCTCTTATGACTGGTGCGAGAACAAAAAACATCCGGCTATCAAAATGCTCTGGGATGCAGCTGCTAACACAGAGAATTTGGTTGTTGTTGCATTTTTTTTTCCAGGTGACAAGTGTCCGTCCCTCGCTGTTTCTTGAAGCGGCACTGGCTAGTAAGGATTCGCAACATCTGGCTGCAGTGCTGAGATTCTTTTCAGACTTCATCGCCGGGTTTAGAAACACTCCAGAGTACCAAGATTACTTCCGTATCCTCAACGAGATGAACACTGGTCTAGCTGTTTGAACTTGTTACCAGCCAGAACTGGATCTACATCTAGGGTTGTACGTGAGCAATGGGTTTTGAGAGTCCTTTTGTGTGGAGTCCTTTTCAGACTTCCTATAAAAGCAAACCTTAACGAAAAGGCACCAAGTCCTAGCAAAAAATAGAAGTTGCAGGAAACAAAGAGAAAAAGAGTGATTTCCTTTTCCCTAATCTGTTTGTTTCTTGTGCTTTCGTGGTGACCATTTTGTTCTCTTCCCTTGTGTTTGTGAGTTGTGAGGACCAGCTTGGGGTTCATTTCATTTTCCAGTGGGGGCAGGGTTGTTCTTCCGTTTGTTATCTTTCGAGGATTTTCTCGTATAAAAGACAGTTGAGTTGGGCGCGGAATATCTATTTGTCTTTGTACATCTGGTCCAGAAGTGTCATGTTCAACTGTCGCGTTTGTCTTTTCAAATTTCTACCTTCCTACAGTTATAAGCAAAATGCCTGAAATAGTACAGTTGGTTTACGCAAAATGTTGTATCACTTACTTTTTTCAGTACAACCACGAAGGTATTACAATCCTTAGATTAATGATTATAAGCTGTTACTTGCTCTTATTGTGTGGCCCATTTTGGCATACTGAATTTTGAGTAGTAGTGGGAAATAGAAATAATATTGGAATCATAAATAATATATAAAGACGGAGAAGATGCTGCTTTTGCATTCGGTCACTTGTCCAGTCGGGTGAGGTCTAAAAGAGTTATATTTATTTATGCTAATTCAACAGCTTTCCAATCATTGATCTAATTTGCTTCAGTTCATAAAGAAAGGGAAGTCTGTAGGGTAGGGTAGCCCAACAAGTCATCAACTCATCATCATTCCTTTTTTGGATAGAAGAAATCATGATTATTTGGATGGTATTACTGTGGGATTATTATTCATCGTATATAATATGAAGCTTTGGTCATAATATTTTCAGGCTCCAGCCAGCTAAGCATTTGCTTCATTGTTTATAATTATGAAAGCTTTATTTATTAGCAAAATACAAGTTATACCGATTTACATTTTGACAATGCAATTTATAAGTCAGTCCAATTTCAATTTCGTCCAAAATGGGTTCGTTAGGTTTTGATGGTAGTTAAGTTGGTACATTATCATCAATGCGTACATGTATATAACGAAATTGGTGTACTGTAGTTTACATCATTTGGATTATGTGATAGTTATTGTAGTTTACATCGTCGAGCAGAATGGAAGGAGATCCAGAGCCCAGAGGAGAGCATTTGACGATTCGTATTGTCTGCTTCCGAGGGAGATCTAGAGGAGAGGAGCGACCGACAATGTCAGGTGTCGGGGCTGAGATATAGAGGAGAGGAGCGGTCGGCGGCGCCAGGATTCGTCTTGCTCTAGGTCTGCTGCTAGCCTGGTCTTCTGTGCGAGTCTCTCTCAGTCTCAATCACGAGAAGTCGTCGCCGCGCCGAGTGAGGGAGAGGTGGGGAGATGCCGAGATGGGCCGAGGTCTGCTGGTCTGGGCGTCGGTTGGTAATTGGATTTGTGGTGGGATTGGGTCCATTGGGAACTTATTTCACAGATCAGATTTGGGCTAATGTGTATTGGGTATAACGAGTACCCATATTACCCAAATGGGTATTTCCGGGTACCCAATATTGAAATTTACAATCCCAAGTCCCATCCGCAATAAATAACAAGGGTATTTGGGTACTCGTAACCTTAAAAAAACCGGATGGTTATGGGAATACCCAAATGCCTGTTTTCCGTTGCCCGCCCCTAAAATTCAGGGCTTGGACGGACAACAACGAAAGAGAATCGAGCTCCATACAACATCAGAGGATAATCGAGCGCCAAATGCAGTCTAGGTGGAAGAGACCAATCAAATTGACGCATGATTGTTTCAAACATCGGAATTTCGTAAATGATAAACTAAAGAGAACCTGAAAGTAGTGGTTTATTGTTTTCGAGTGAATAAAACGTAGAGACAAAGTACATATTTATAGGAGAAATCCTATAAACCCCTTCTCTCCCGAACAAGGTAAATGAATCCTAATCCGACTCCTAAACAATTACTTCCTCAACAAGAAGTAATTATACCCCAAAGTAACCAAACTAATATCCAAATTAATAATAATAATAATAATAATAATAATAATAATGGAAATAGCTAGGGGACCACACGGCCTAAAAACGTGCATGCATAAAAAATCCTCCCTTCAAGCGGCCTCGTCCCGGGGTTGCTCATCATTGTCGGCACCCCTGCTTCGTCCTCTCCAAAATCCCCGATCATGATGAACACTTGATTGTTGGCACAACGATTGCCAAAAGTAAAGCGTTCTTCGCAGTTGTAGCAGAGACCGTCACGGCGACGTCTGGCAGCTTCCTCCTGAGTCATATGGCAAATGACTCGCCTCCCAGCTGGCGGCGGTCCTCAATTCTGCAGTGCAGGCGGGGAAGTGGAATTGGTGTCGAGTTGGGATCTGACTCTTGTGGAACTACCACCGGTCCGCATACGGTCACTCTCGTAGCTTCCGCTCAATCAGAATTTCTTCCTCACAAAATTTGGCAAAACAATACGCCTCACAGGTATTCTGCGGTCCGAATGTGAAGATGTAACCAGAAATTTTGGGTTTGAGACCCCCATGTACGCCCCCATCACTGTTTATTTACTCCATCTGTGACAGCAATTAAGCAGCTTTTTGAAAGCCTGCTGGTAATCCTCCACTGTCCCAGTTTGCTTAATCTTTGTTAGGGATTCATGTTTGGCTACATTTTTTATGCTCTATATCTTTTCCAAAACTCCGCTTGGAAGTCTTCCCACGTCATCCCCGTGTGATTATGTGCAAACTCCTCCTCGATCCACATGATCCAATGGTTCGCATATCCTTCCATGTGGAATGAAGCTAGCGCCACCTTCTGTTCCTCTAGAATGGCATGATATTTGAAGTACTTTTCAACATGAGTCATCCATCCCGATGGATCCTCCTGCTCTGTGAACTTGGGGAACTTCAAGGTCGCAGTTCGACCTCGAAAAAGAGCGACAACCACCTCTTCCCCACCTCGCGTCTTGCCCAGGTCGTCGCCCCGGGGTTCGGTCTGCCCGATCTGCTCGCCCCACCTCCTTGGCCAGAGCCCGCGCCATGAGACCTTGGCCACCTCCAAGCTTCCTCCCGACCCTCCTCCATCTAGTCCAACTTGTTGATCAGGCCCCAGTACTACCCAATCGACTCCTCGCAAACCAAGGCCCACCAACCTCGATTCCTCTGGTGAAACTCGCCCCAAGCTTTTCTCCTATGTTTTGACACCCCCTGCTCGGACAAACTCGCTAAACCAACCCCCTTCTTCTGTGGCGCGCTCACGGCGGTCGTCACCCTTCCCGATTGACTTCACATTACCTCCATCTTCACCGTCGGAGGCTAGATTTCCTCAAGCCATCCAACTCAAGATGACGTCTTTGTCCTTGCCTCGTGGTCCGGTTGATAAGCTCGCCCTTCCTTCCCGGTACCCGAGCCCTACAACGGTGGTGTCTGGAGAGCCCCCTCTTGGCCTCCCCCCTTTGGTGCCTCTTGCTCGGTCTTCACCCCCTTAGACTTTTCCTCCGGCGAGATCAAATCTGTCATACACCTCTCTTCATTTTTTCCCTTGTCCGAGCTTCTAGAGAAAAGCGCTTCCATTTTTTTTATGAAAGTCTCTTGGTCTTGTCGCAGCGCGCCCCGACCCGCATCGATTCACATCGCATCTCTACTCTCAGCGAGTCGGCCATCTGCTCCATACTCTGCTGCAACTCTTTACGTGTCTGTCGAATTTCAGTTTGGAGGGCAGGTTGACTGTTTCTTAGGATCGAGACGTCAGCTCGAAGCTGCTCGCATTCCTCCCCAGTCGCACGTAGCTGCAGGTCGAGCTCGCCGACCCGATCCGCTGTGTCCCGGATATGATGGCCAGCTGCATCGGTGGTGACTTCCTGGAAAAGCAGGCAGTGTTCTTCTTCGGCGCGGCAGCATAGCTCGTGGCTTTGTCGAAACTCGAAACCAGGCTCTGATACCAATTGACGCATGATCGTTTCACGCATTGGGATTTCATAAATGATAACTAAAGAGAAACTGAAAGTACTGGTTTATTATTTTTTGGTGAATAAAACGTAGAAACAAAGTACATATTTATAGGAGAAATCCTATAAACCCCTTCCCTCCAGAACAAGGTAATCCGACTACTAAACGATGACTTCCTCAACAAAAAGTAATAATATCTCAAAATAACCAAAAGAATATATGAATTAAAAATAATAATAGTAATAACGGAAATAGCTAGTGGCCCACACAGCCCAAAAACGTGCATGCATCACGAATCTATCCACCACCGGGCATAGCCACCTCGGATCAGATTGCTTCTACCTCCCTCCGATTACAACCTATCCACCACCGAACCCAAAACCCTACTTCTCTCTTTAACTCGACCAAGAAGTACCTCAAAACCCAGTCGAGGTGGAAGAGCTGCGAGCGGCCGTGTCGAGTAAGAATCACAGTCGTAGGTGGGACGGTGGTTGCAATCTAGGTGGACATGATGTGTCGTCCAGGTAGCAGTCACATTAACCTAACGTTCACTTAACTCATAGAGCCCTTGATGTTGTTAAAGTATTTGACGAAAATGAATAAATTAGTCAAACAGGTTTTAAAAGTGTCAATACAAGTAGTATTTTTTTCAAAAAGTGGCTATCATTGCACGTAATTCATAATACTAAAATTCAACACTTCATATTCACTAGTTTTATTTGTCTACCAACATATTGTAGAGAACTTTGTAGCGCACATTAAACTTGCATGTTATTTAAATAACAATAGATTTTTTAAACCACCATAAATACACATATTTATTCCATCATTTCTTGATCGTTTGGAATCAAATTCTTGCATTTTAAGCCAATTTTATACTAGGTTGTGCCTATTTATGATATTTGAGGTCCTTGAATGTGAATGAACGCTGTGTAGCAAGTTTTGAAACAATTGGAGCAAGAACGGATCAGAGTACGTGGAGCAAGAGAGAGTTACGACTAGAAGTTTGAAGTTACTGTCGTATCGAAACTCTCCACCCCGGGCGTAACCATGTTTCCAAGGACAAAAGCCCGTCTGAAGGTTACTGTTCAGCACTCCAGGTTATGGCCTGGATCGTAACTTACCAACCATGGTCGTTAGTCGGGCTGGAGAAGCAGAAGCATCTGCGACAGTTACGGGCTGTCCTCTCAAGTTACGATCATGCCCGTAACTCTCTGTTCATAACCCTAGCCCTCAATTTACAGATTCCAGCCACGACAACATTTCGACAGAAGTTACGGGCCGGAGAAGTAGGCTATGGTCGTGACTTATACTATAGCTCAGGAATCTCTAGAGTTTAAGTCACCGACCTGGCAAAATTGGAGGGGATTAGAGTTTTTGAGGGAGAAATAGAGTTTTACACCCTAGAGAGAGAAAGTATCGAAAAGTCCACCCTGGGAGCTGATTTGAGCATCCGGTTGACCATTGGATCTTGGATTCTTCTTGTTCGAGAGGTAGACGATGTTACGGAACATATTTCACCACTAGCTTGATAATTTCTACTCCAGCCTTCGTGTTTTCATCTTTCTCAATGGAGTAAACTTCCTCTTCACTTGATTAGGAAGAACCCTAGTTCTGGATGTTAGGATAACATTGTATGAACGCTTGGTTTGTTGAAATGATTGATTATACTCAATTGAAGCATTTTTCTGAATTGATTGAGTCTTGATCACATTTTTTTATTACTATTTTAACATAGAAGAGAGAACATCTGATTAGGTTAAGAGAGAAACTTCAATTGGAAGTAGTGAATTGATTGCGCGAATAGTGAATTATTCATTGCTTTGTACTGGAATCCATTCCATTATCTATCTACATTACCTTAAAACTTGACTCCGGTCGAGGATAATCTCCCTCCGGCTATCTGTTTAAGAGGGTTTGGTCTGATTTAGTCGAGATTCGAAGCTAATACCAGATCTTCTGCAGTATAATTATTGGTAAATGAACTAAGGGAATTACAACTCTGACCTAATTACACACTAGGGGGACACATAACTGAGTGAGCTTTCTCATAACTGAATTCGAATAAACTTTCCTTGCTTTGTAACTTTAGCTTAGTAATCAACATTATGACATGGTTGCTAGATAATAGACTATTTGTTGAGTAATAGTACATCTAGGCCCCGGTTGATATTAGAACTTTGTGGTTACAATTGGCGAGGCAGGGTGTTGGTAAAAACGAGTCAATTTTACATAAAACTATGTCTTTAATTGTTTGTTCTAAGTTTACTAATTCATAATTTGGTGTCAAATTCTCTACCTTCAAAGAAAAATTAGTTGATAAATTAAGAACACACGACATGGATCATTTAAATATTAATTTATTGTTTTATTTTTATGTCGGACCCAGTTTAAATGAAATCCTAGCTACGCTATTGGGTCCACTTAGTATTATAGTTAAAGATCTACATGTTGAATTTTAGATAAATAATGTAGGATGTACGGAGCGTGTATAACCACGGGTACCTAAAATCCATGGGTATGGGGATGAGGATGCAAAAACTCCTCACCTAAAATCTTCATGATTAAATTTTAAACCACAAACATCAAACTTACTTGCTGAAACTAAATTCCGGGAAATAGTTGAAACATAAAGTGTCTCAAATAAATCTAACTCAAATCCATTATCTAAAATAAGGCGACAGTACCAATAGTTTCAACTAAAATTGTGAGCCGGTGGATCAGTTAAATTGTGAGTGTTCATATGGTTTATGTCAAATCGTTAAAAATTATTGGATCAATTCTAACTATCCAATCAAATAAAGCAAACTGCTCTATTGTAACTGGTTTAGTGGTTCTGCAAATCAAATCGTTGATTTGGTTCAATTCTTATAACAATTAGCACTCTAACATCAAACTACTCAAATACGATGATTTTTTGTTTTATGGAAACCTGTATAAATACGATGATGAAATGAATAAATACTATGTATTATGCTATTGCCAGCTTCCCTAGAGTAACAGATCGAGCTAGACCAACAGTTATAAGACAAACCACCCGTTCTCCCCACCTAAGCCCACGTACGTAGGTGCATATAAAACAAACAGAGTAGTTAGTTTCCTGTTTCTCCCTCTCGGCATAATTTCTTTCTTGGTTAGAAGCTAGAACCTCTTTTCCTTTGGTTGTTCCCAAAATAGATAATTTGACACACGATTAATAAAACAAAACGATTCTTTTCAGCTTCAGCAATTGAACATGTGCTTCAGAGACTGGTCGTTTTCTTCGAAAACCACATATGTGTTCTTGTCCGCTGCAAGAACTTGGATGGATAGGCTCACATGGACAGCCTTCAACCCTTTAGATGTGTTCCCATCTGTGAAATTAGGGTGGAGGTTGATGGAATTTAGCAACTAAGGTAATTTATGGGGTAAGAAATTATATATCAAGGAGAAAGAGAAGGAATATCTATTTGGATTTATATAATTACTTGATCACCATCAACCATAACAAAATTATGGCGATGAGAGATTATATGAGAAGAGATCAAATTCAAAAGTTAACCCTCTTTTTATCATACTAGGACAATATGTGATTCTCACAATTCAATCTGTAAGCAGCAACAATCAAATATAAGAAAAGTGTCTATTAACAAATAAGGAAGTGTAGGGTATGGTAAAGTGTGAGGCAATCATTCACTGCATAAGAGATAAAAAAAATATCCGATTAAAACTCGATTCACGAGTGTATGAAGTTGTTTGCTTAGTACAATCCATGTTGAATGAAGTACCAATTTCATACTAAGTCTATGACTGGGATTTCCATAAGGATCAAGGATAAGAAGTTAATGAAGTCCTTATGCGAGTGCTAAAACACATAAATTGCTCTTACTCAATCACTAGTAGTAAGAAACAAAAACCCCTTGTACTAAATATGACAACTTGGCAAGCAAAATAAAAAGAGGGAAAAACTATAGTTAATTATCATACAAATGTAGAGATGTTCTTAAATTCGAAAAAAAAGTTTGCAAAAGACTTCACTATGCGTATTGGACTCTCGTGCTTAGTTGATTATTCATGATTGGTGTAAGTAGGTCAGATTGTTCTTACGAGATATGTACGTAGTTGACTCACAAAAACACAACATTTCCACAATGACCTAGTATAACCAATACGGAAGACTACAGTAAAGTGGGTGTGGTTTAAATTATCAACCTGGGTCCTAGCTATACTGTCTACTCCGTGAATGTCTATTAGCAGTCAAATTATAGTGAAAATGCATAGAGTAAAGAACAAGGAAAGCAAGTAAATTGTTCGGTTTTCAAAACCAGAAGAGTCACTCGGGCATACGTCCTCCTAGCTCCTCAATTAGGTCCAAGTTGTATTTTCCTTTTGTTGTTTTAATATTGATTAAACTGCGGAAAATTCGAAAATAGCTTGGAATCTCTTAAGCCGACCAAGCCCTCTTAGCCAAAACACCCAACAGGCGACTAACCTTCACCAGAATAAAATTTTAGGCAATACTTAAAGATCTCCACTACTGGAATAAATTCCAGTACAAAGTAGTAAATTGTCTGACTCTCGTACAATCAATTCACTACTAACAATCGAAGAAGCTCTGTTAACCTAATCAAATTCTATCTATCATAGGTCAAAGCATAAATCAAGAGAATGTGATCAAGATCCAATTGATTCAACAAATCATGTGTCAATTGATTAAAACCAACCAGTGTAGCATCCAAAGGTCATTACAAACAGATCCCTAACATATGGAACTAGGGTTCTTCATATCCAAGTGACAAGGAGGTTTACTCCATATATATATATATATATATATATATATATATATATAGAGAGAGAGAGAGAGAGAGAGAGAGGAAAACCAAATAAAAAGCAACCATACTCATGGAGATGTGTATAATCATCTTTGGAATGTCAATCTTCACTCCTTGGGACAAATCCAGGCTTCAATGGTGAGAAATCAGCTCAAGATAGCTCCTAGGTCGTGTTCTTCGTTACTATCTCTCTCTAGAACTATGTTTTTGCTCTAAAAAGTCAGTTATCTTCCCAAACACCCGAAATTGGATTTAGAACCAACAAATGCTCGATTGCACGGTTGGTGTTCGACCGTGAAACTCCATCATTCTGCCGTGCAGGTCAAAACGTGCCATTTCATTAGGATTCTTTAAGCGCTCGTGCACGGTCATGGCACGAACGTGCATAACCGGGCTTTGCTCGTGCCAAATCTATGGCCACTCTGCATGGTCGAGGGTCGAATTGCACATCCCGTGAACCCTTGACCGTGCCATTGTCCTTGCACGATCCACCTTGCGCGGTCGTGCAGGATGGTCCAGGCCGTGCAGACCTCCTCTGCTCATGTAGAACGTCCCAACTTCGTCCAATCATCCCAAACTCATTCCTAAGCCTTCATTCACCTATTAGGACCTGAAATGACACAAAGAAGCACAATCTAGCATAAAATAGGCCAAGAAATCATCAAATATCAAGCTAAACAATCAAGAAATGTCGGGGAAAACATGTGCAAATATTGTGTTATCAGTAGCTCACTAATGTGGTCTGGTTCTCTAAGTGCGAGAGTTGACCTTGTAAGTTTCTTATGATCCACTACCTACGGCTACGATCCAAAGTTATGTGTCATCATAAAGGTCAAGTGAGTTGTATGATTTTGATTATGGTTTAGTTGAGGACAAGCAAATTTCAAGTATAGGGTTATTTAATGACACATAAAATGTACATTTTTACAACCATATTTCATGGCATGTATTACATGACTTAAGCATATATTCTTCCATATTGACTTGGGTTTTCTTGATAATTGCTCAAAGGTGAGTTTACCTCTCCTCTAGGGATGTTTTCACAATTTTTATACCTTTTGGATAGTATTTTGTGCATTTTTCCTGTAATGAGACTCTAGTGGAATACCTTGTACGAGCTAGAGACATTAGGACTAGAAGGATGGACGTCAGAAATGGAATTGGAATTCAAAGTTCAGAATGACAACCCCTAAATTGTCGACCAAAAATGCCTTGGGCACATTCTCCATAAGGTTTATTTCAGTTTAGTTTGATCATATATTCCTTCCTAATGGAGCATTAAGTTGAAGATATTTCAAAGATTTGAGATCAAAGGGGTTACCTTCCTAGAAGATCTCTAAGAAAGCCTTATGAAAAGGTGTATACATAGATCATCTCGACCAGAATTTGAAGACCAGTCTTTACATGGGGTTATTCGGCCTCTAGAGCAACTCACCACATACCAGAAGCAATCGTAAGCTCGAGGGAAGAATGACAACCATAATGGCACCTTAATTAGGTGCCATTTCCCTTGTTAGGTCACCATTTACAAATGGTAGGTATCTCATCTTTTCGATTGATGTATCTCCTAGAGTTAATTGTGTAGGTTGGCGAGGTTCTTTAGATCATGTTATAGTTGATTCTTGATCTCTCTCTCTCTCTCTCTCTCACACACACACACACACACACGCACACACACATACACATATTTCGATTGTTTCATTTTCACATCTCTATGTTTATTGCATATGCGTATATTCTTATATGTGTTCATATGAATGGATTGTAGCAAGGAAGCCCTTATGATTGAGTGCACACCCAATGCAATACACGATTTGGTAGGCAACATATGGTATGGATCATCTTGGCAACACATGACTAGATTGGCTTACCCACGTATCTCTTTAGTCCATCTCTAGAGGAGGGATCCATTGGTAGATGGTAGGACAATAAACATAGTGAGTGGAGTGTGAACTCCCTAATCACCTATATTTTTTGTTGCCTATCATTCTAGAACAAATCTAGCGAAATTCTAGGGGGAGTTTGCCTATGTAACAATCTTCCCTATAGTTTCTCTCGTTTAGTTTTAGTTTGTTTTATTTCCTGCACTTCTATTTTAAAAATAAGCTCGAGGGGCACCTCTACCACAAAGACCTGATTTTCAATCCAAGAACAAAGCCCTTACTATCTGAGTAGCGAGATTCAAATGTCATGAGACAATACGGTCTTGGTTGTCTACTAGCTGAATTTGGCCCCTGTTTTATAGCATATCAGTCTTCCCTCTTTAAGAGGTTCGTGGCACTGCCTCGTAATCGCGCATAGCAGAGCAAAAGTCGGTATCCTCCGGTAGGGGTGGACATTCGGTGGCTTCGATCAAATGAATTGAACCAAAAAAACCACCCTAAACACCTCAGCTTTTTTTAGCCGAACTATACCCCACATCATTTTAGTTCGGTTTGTTCCGAATCGAAATAAAGCTGGTTTGAAATGGTTTGACCGAACCCAGTGGCAGAGCCCTTTGAGACCAAGGTAGGCCATATGCACCACCTTGGCTCGAAGAATATAGTAGTAAATTTTTTATGTGACTGTTAATTGAATACAAGATCTCCCTATTATTGTAAATAACTTTACGAAAATATAATATTTTGAGTAATGACTATTTATTAGCCAAACCTTTTTCGGATTCTTTTTATTAGCCAAACCTATCGAAATACTAAAAATTAGTCAAATGTTAACTTTCATTTAGCAATTTTGTTAGTAATATTGACTTGACAACGTTATACTGACTTGTAAGAGACACATGAAGATCAACATTCCAGAATTTTAGTATTTTAACTAAGAAAGGAGTTACAAAATTATTAACGATAAAGTAAAAATGACTAATATTTTGATGCATTATAAAACGTTTGGCTAATTAATAGCATTTTAATAGGTTTGGATAATATAAAAAAATCTGAAAAACGTTTGGATAAAAAAATAGATATTACCCGAATATTTTTTTATCTCTTTTTAACTTTTAGTTCATATATTATGTAATTTACTTTAATATAAATGAAAACTCAAAATTTTGGGAGTTTGTTGCTACTATTTGCCATTGCAAGTGTTGAAAGATCACTTACTGCGATGACAAGCGTGAAAAGACAATTCAAAATTAGATGAGTGATGAAATCGTGGTCGATGAAGTATATCAACGTCCCTCATAATTGCACGATGAATGCACTTTAATTTTTTTTTTCCCGGAATATGAAAACACATCCTGAAACGTACGTTATATATTGACCACATTGGATCTAGCTTAGATGAATTCCAGACTACGCCACTGACGGAATTGTCGAACCAAAAACACGTCACCAGCCAAGTGAGAAATCGGCCGAAAGCTAGCCAAAAATCTCAAGGCTAAATCCAAGGCGAGCTTCGTTCGAACCATGGCCGCACGGAGTACGAGTTTCGGTTTGCCCCAGGTCGAAACGAAGCCTATCGTTACCCGAGTTCAAACGAACTCTATATCCTTGGTTCTACTATGTGTCCATATGAAACCAACCTTCGGTCCGACCTATTTTTGGCTCCTAGTTCGTCGCCAACAATCTGGTCGAGTCTGACGGTTTTGTCTGTATGGAATATGGATAGGTACACCAGAGGACTTAAAGAGAAGATATATTTGAATTGATTGTTTGTTTTGTTGTTAAATTATTAAGAATAATTTAGTTAAATTTACGATGTTATTTAGTAAAATCATAAAAATAGTTTGGGCTTTAAGCCTTCGGTAACAGAAGCCTTGTTTTGTAGCATGATTGTTACGCCGGCCGGCGTGTCACTGATTGAACTTGTTTCAACCTGTACTGGTTATAAAATCGGTATGACACCATCGGTATAACCGTCATGATCAATATATGAATCTCTAAGTAAAATGATCTTATATTAGTGAATTTATTTGATAAAAAGTAATTTATTATTTATTTTATGTGTTAAAAACTTAAATGTTGATGTTATTTATTGAATTCAAGTACAAATATTTAGATATTGACGTCAAATGTCGTGCTTAAATATGAGTATTTGTAATATTAACCGGCATGAACCCACACAAACCGATATATACCACCAATCGAACCATTCCACTTGCTAAACCGGCACACTGGCACAAACCGGTTTGACAACCTTGTAATTTGTAGTAGCGGGAGAGGGTGGTCTGAGCTGGAAGAAGAGTCCACCCTAATCCCCAACTTCCACGCCCGACACGTCGTGAAAGCTGCGTAAATGGGACCCACAGCTCCCGCCAGCTCCCAAAAAAAATCCCCGTTCCCCAACCCCAGCGTGAGTCCTGTGATACGCTGCCGGTTGAATCACCGGCGGCACGGTGAGTGAGTCCCCCCCAACTTTTCCCCTTTTCTTCTTGTAGGCTGTAGCATATTCCCACTTTTACTTTTCAACAACACTAAAAAGGCCAAAAGCCCATGATTTTTTGTTTACCTGCTGAGCCCAAAAGGAAAAAAATGGGGTAGATTCCGTATTCTATGTTTTATGCTAGATACGACTGTCTTGACTTTGAAGAGTAAAAAAAGGGAAATCTACCTCACGACCACAAAAAGGTAAAAACATTGCGAAAGAAAATACTCCACCCCATAAAGTCGGAGTAGGTAAAAATACATTTTAATGGGGTCTCTCACCATATTTATTCCGTTCCGTGCCTCTGCCCGCCTGCCGGTCCATTTCCCCCCACCACCACCCACTGCCCGGAAACAAAGGGTAAAGTAAAATAGACAGAAACCGTAACCGCTAATGGGCAAGAGAGAGAGAGAGAAAGCAGCCCTTTGATTTAGGGCATCTCATTGCTTCCAAGGCAAGCACTTAATCCAGTCCACCCTCAGTCTCTCCACCATTTTCATTTTTTGCATTTTCTCTCCTTCGTCGCCATGGGAGGGAAGAAGAAGCAGCAGAAGCAGTAGCACCAACCAACTCCTGGTCGTAGTAATTATGGTGCTGACAATGATGACCGCCATGATGGCGTCTTCTCTCTTACTCTCCTCTTCCCCGGCTGCTGGTGGATCCGATTAGGCTATCGATTCGCTTTCCCAGTCCTCCTCCTCCTTCATCTTCTTCTCTCTCTCCCTGCTCCCAACAAGATCTCTGTTCCACCAGCACACACAAAATCAAGCTCGCAAAGCAGGTACGCACTCTCTCTCTCTCTCTCTCTCTAGCGTTTTCTGTGCCGTGGATTTCATTTTTTGCATGTACGGAGTCTCTCTCCGTCCATCCGGCCATTGTTGCCTTCTTTCGGGAATGTTCTTCGCATTCTCGACGTCTCTTCCTTCTGTTTCTTTTTCTTCTCGCTGTTCTGCTCTACTTTTTTTTCCCCATGGTCAAGCCAGCTCACTGAGTTCTCTTTCTTTCTCTCTCTTCAATTTCTTATTTGTCTTTCCTTTATGTGTTTGGTAGCTGGGGGAGGGATAGGATTGGCTTTTTTTCCGTTTGGTGTTCCGAGTAATGGCGTCCAGAAGCGGATCAAAATCCAAAAAGTTAGGCTCCGCTGGCTCCAGTAAGGCTGCGAATTCCCCATCTTCCTCCACCACCTCTTCCTCCAAGCACTTCCCCGAGACCTCAATCGACGGCCAGAGCTCCCCTGCATCTTCCTCTGCTCGCAGCAAGCCGCAGTACTTCTACTCCGAGGCTCCGCCTATGGATGGTGGAAGATCCAAGGAGAATGTGACCGTCACAGTTCGATTTCGTCCTCTCAGGTTTCCTCTGATTTCTATCCTATTCTTTTTCCGTTTCTAAGCGATTCACTGAGCTTTGCGCTGAAGCAATTTGCTTGTTGATGAGGCAGCCAGAGGGAAGTTCGTCGGGGAGAGGAGGTTGCCTGGTACGCTGACGGGGAAACTATTGTACGGAATGAACATAATACTTCGATTGCCTACGCTTATGGTAACTTTCTGCTTGACTTGCCTGGAATTTGTTTGATTCTTGAATTGTTTTTGATGCAATGTTGATGAACTTTTAGTGAGGGATGCAATTCTTGTAGAGTTGAGTCAATGCAACCACCAAGGATCGATCAATGGGGTTCTTCTGGAAGAGCCTTAGATGTTTTGTTGTTGGAAAACGTTAACGTCTAGGGAGAGAGTGTGCAATTGAACACCTTATGGCCCAAGATCCAAGATTAGTGTGTTGAGTTGCTGATGGGAGAATGGAAGTTGTACAGAACTTAAAGCCAAATATACACTTTTTTGTTTGTGTTTTGTTTTTTTACCAATAGGTTTATTCCTGCATTTGTGACTTTGTGTAGTTGAATTCCTACTATGAATTGGTCAAACAGAATTTACTCTACTGTGCTTGATTGTTTAGGGGATTGTTCCTATTAGGAATTATCTATTGTTGCATGAACGAGAGATTGTTCTACTACATACATGTTGCTAGTTATGTCTAAATGTTGTTGTGAGCTAAAATGGATTAAATTATGTATCTTACCTACATTGGACTTCATTAGCTCATCTATGGTGTATCAGTTTCAGCTAATTATGTTGGCTGATGAAACAAAAAACTAATGTACTTTGCATTCATGGTCTCCTAGATCGTGTGTTTGGCCCTACAACTACAACGAGACATGTGTATGATGTTGCTGCCCATCATGTTGTTAGTGGTTCCATGGAAGGCGTCAATGGTAAATGATAATGATGTTTCCCTTTTTTTTTTTTCTTGAATGAATGATATTACCCTATTTAATAACTGGTCTGCGGTGTTTTTTTGCTTCCAATGTTCTTACAGGCACAATCTTCGCGTATGGTGTCACAAGCAGTGGAAAAACACACACAATGCATGTAAGATTTAGGATTAGATATTTGTAGATTCATGCATAATTGTACATTCAACTGTGTCTGCTACTTCGTATGTTATGAATGGAAATTTTGTAAATATAGAATGAGGAGAAATCAATATTTCCATATCTTGCTCGACGCCAATGACATTGGTGCTTAATTCTGATCCCCTCAATTGAATAAGATTTCTGATTTCGGAGTTCAAGTTGATCTTTCGCTGCCCTGGCATTAACTTCTAGTACATGGATGCATCTTCTGTAAAAAGCATAATTCACCCTTGCCTCTAGAGAATCATACTTGTTGAATGTGGATGAGTTATTTATGGTACTCTCCAAGGATTTTCTTCAGTTTTTCAAACACTTGAATGATAGCCATTCAATATGTGCAATTGACAGGGCGATCAGAGGTCTCCAGGAATTATACCATTGGCAGTAAAAGATGCTTTTAGCATTATTCAAGAGGTAATTTGCTCGAGTATTCTTGCTGTAAAATTTTAGGGCTCATGACTTTTTTCCTTCCTTTTTCCCGATTCCTTGCCCTCTAATATTTTACCATAACCTCTAGACTCCAAACCGAGAGTTTCTGCTTCGAGTTTCATACTTAGAGATTTATAATGAGGTAAGCTTCTTGCTTTGTCGTGTACTTAGTCAGTTTTGACCATATTATGCGTCTTAAAAACCAATGGTCAGCTACAGTCTTCTTGTTGCTCACTGTTTTATCTTATGGTTTTCTTGATTTCAGGTCGTGAACGATTTATTAAACCCAGCTGGACAAAATTTAAGAATCAGAGAAGATGCTCAGGTATTTTTCCCCGTGCAGTCTATGTTCTGATACATTCATCAAGAGAAGTTACGGAGTAAGAAATATTACTGTCAGAGTTCTCAAAAATGGTTCAGAACACAGTCAGTAACTAGGCATGACCATATTTCTTTTCACACTTGATGTTGCACCCAACATTGAACGCAGGGTGGATTTGATGTTTGTCTTTCTTCATCGTCACTAGGCCAACCTCTAGGCATGACCATACTTAACTGACTAAAGTGCACTTTCTAGTGTAGTATTGTAAGCTATTCCAATTTTGACTGAAATGCTTGTGAATGACTTGAACTGTCAGTCCTGTCAAAATCATCAAGAACCATCTGTTCAGTTTGTGAGTCTGAATAATTCTTTTCATGTTGCGACATGAGGTTTTACCCATCCAAAGCTACTGCTTTACTAAGTATGCTACATTTCCTAGAATGTTGAAGAAGCTTCTGCTTCTTATTCTTATGTGTCAAGCTTAAAAACTTGGGTGAATTCAGTTTATTTCTACGTGGTTCAGCCATCCTATGTTTGTGTAGGTTCTGTGGTGATGTTTTTCAACAGAGAAGTAACTGATCATTGTTCATTGATATCTGTAGGGAACCTTTGTCGAAGGAATTAAGGAAGAAGTTGTCTTATCCCCTGCTCATTGCCTTTCCCTTATTGCAGCTGGAGAAGGTATCTTCTTTAACGTGTCAGTAAGTAATTTATTGTTGGTGTCCTAGTAAAACTGGGAATTCGCCCCCTAGTCATACAACCCTGATACTTAAGAACACTGATGAGTAACCACTTTATATGTTTATATATAGCACATGGTAAATGTTGGAAAGATATTTGGATGCGTAAAAATTGGAGTTAGGTTTTAGGTTGAACTCTGTACTGTTCCATTCATGACCGTTCTGATACCAGCTTTCCAGTTTAGTATCTACTTGGCAAAGACAAACAGCTCTCTACCAATGAGATCTTATGGAATGTAGTAAAACATTTCTTTAACTGTCTTTCAATATTTATTAATACGTGATCTTTACCAATTATTATCCACTTCACAAAGACGAACAACTCTCTACCAATTTGATCTTATGGAATGTAGTATAACGTTTCTTTATCTGTCTTCCCATAGTTATTCGTGTATGCATCTGCATGTGCATTCTATCCACGTTAAGTACGATTCCAACTCTTTTTTCACTCATCTTACATGTCTTTGTGTTATTATGTTTTCACTTTTGGGGCAGAGCACAGACATGTTGGTTCCACGAACTTTAACCTTCTCAGCAGCAGAAGTCATACCATATTCACATTGGTAATTTTAATGAGTTTGCTGCTATGACATGAAATTTTGGTCTATTTATTTTTAGCTGTATAATATTAACAATATATGTAAACACTTCTAAAGAGGAATATAAAAGCCTTAATGCAATTAGATACAAGCACAATTAAGTTTCATTCATATGCTGTAACGAGGACCCCCACAGTTTTTGCTATGTTCTTGCTGGTTTATGTATGCATCTCTTTTGTATATTTCCTCTCAATTCTATCTTGCGTACCTTGATTACAGACAATAGAGAGTAGTCCATGCGGAGAAAACTGTGAAGGAGAAGCTGTGAATCTCTCCCAATTGGTAACTGCCAAGGCTTTTGTTGTTTCCAATGCAAATTTTACATCTTGAACATCTTAAGCTTGGTTTTTTGTTGTCCACCTGTGAAATACAAGGATTCGAGGTTCTGTATATTTCATATGAAATTTTCTTACAACTGCCTCTTTCTTGTACCTGCAGAACCTCATCGATCTCGCCGGTTCTGAGAGCTCAAAGGCTGAAACTATAGGGATGAGGCGTAAAGAAGGAGCGTACATAAATAAGAGCCTTCTAACTCTTGGGACAGTAAGCTTTTATCATTCATACAACCCTGTAGCTTGACCCTGATTGTTTTGCATTAATTTGACCACATGATGAACGCTTGCCTTGCCTGATGAATGTTGCATTTATGTATTTTCTAGTTTCCAGTTCAGTATTTTGTCGCTCAACTTGCGATTTGATTGGTGAAGCTAGCTAAAAGACTTGATTTTGTGCATCTACTGCTATTCTGTTCATGTGATGTTGATTTTCAATCAGATTGAGTAACCAGAGTCATTGTTGATGATTTGGTTTCTGTGGTTCATAAATATGTTTCCATGTGTAGTTTTATTACCTATAATACATTACTATTTTTTATGGTTGATAAGCTTGGAACTTCTTGGTAGGTTATATCTAAGCTGACAGAAGCCAGGGCAACTCACATACCATACAGAGACTCAAAGTTGACGAGGCTCCTTCAATCTTCTTTAAGTGGTCTTGGACGTGTATCAGTAAGGCTTTATAACTTCTTTGAATACAGGAAATCTGCACATTCATGCTTTTCGTTTCGACCATTGATTGATGTTTTCCCCTTGTAACATAGTATGTCTAACTCAAAGATACTATTCCTTTTGTTATTCTGCTTCAAAACTCTAGCTGATTTGCACCGTAACTCCTACATCAAGCAGCTCTGAAGAGACGCATAATACTTTGAAATTCGCTCACCGTGCAAAGCATATTGAAATACAAGCAGCACAGAACAAGGCATTCTCTCTTTCCCAACCCTTAATTGTATGCAGCTGTCCTTTCAGATTTGGGTTAACATTTTATCAACTTTGCAGATTATTGATGAGAAATCACTCATCAAGAAATATCAAAATGAGATACGTTGTCTGAAAGAAGAGTTGGAACAACTGAAGAGGGGTATTGGGACGGTTCCACAACTGCAAAACATTGTTGAAGATGACATTGTTATTTTGAAGCAGAAGGTACAACTAAAGAGATTTCGACATCTGTGACAACTTTTGCTTAGATGGTTGATCCAAGTGCGAGAAAGTTTGTGCTCCATGTTATCTTTCTCACAGACTCATACTACATTTTGTTTAATTGATGGGATATATGAAGCTGGAAGATGGTCAAGTCAAGCTGCAATCTAGATTGGAACAAGAAGAAGAAGCGAAAGCTGCTTTACTGAGCAGGATCCAACGGTTGACTAAGTTAATTTTGGTCTCAAGCAAAGGTTCCCAACCGTCACGGGTTCCGCACCGGCCTCTTCCAAGAAGGAGACATTCCTTTGGAGAAGAAGAGGTATAATTACTTAAATTCTTGTACAAGATTTTCGCGTATACATTCTTTTGGGAGGTTCTTTCTATTCTGATTCAGTTGACCTAATAGTTGTGTAATTTTACATTCTGTGAAATTAATGGGGTACTTTACACGTACATGATTTATCCCTTCTCTCTGTGAAATTTGTTCTTACTTTTCTTCGCATTCTTCTACTTTGCAGCTTGCATATCTACCCTACAAAAGGCGGGATTTGATACTTGAGGAAGAGAACGTTGACTTCTATGTTTCCCTTGAAGGGAATGCTGAAACTGTCGATGGCACCCTTAAAGAGGAAAAGAAAACCAAAAAGAACGGATTGCTGAATTGGTTGAAACTACGGGTATATTTGCTATTACTCTACTAAGTTGTTTTTTTCCTTCAAACAAGATTTTGTGGTTTATTGCCGACCCTTATGAATTTGGCACCATACAACTTATTCTATCTTGCCAAATGGTGATATTTATTGTCTTAAGACTGGATGTAGTTTCAGACGTGGTACCTCTCAATTAGTAACCACCTTCACACTACTGACAAATACCTGTATCACTAGAACAAACATAATAGAATGTTTTCTGAATTTTGTCTCGTAATGGATATATTTATTTTGCAAACCTATATTTACTCTTCATTCATGCCATATCTATCCATCTCAGAAACGTGACAGTCTGGGAACAAGTGCCAGTGATAGATCAAGTGGAGTGAATAGCACACCTTCAACACCTCAAGCAGAAAATAGTAATCCCCACTCAGAATCCCGCCATGTACACTCATTACTCATGGAAAGTTTTTCACACTCAGCAGAGCTTCATTCTGATGTTGTACAAGATAGAGATACTCCAGATGACACTCTACTTGGGCATGAAACTCCTTCGGTAAACCGACAAGCCCTTTTTTCCTGGTTTCAATTTCTTCGCTTTAGGTGTCTGAGTACGGGAATGTAAAAATAGCTACAGTTCTGAATTCGCCGCTCTTCCTTTGTCTCTACTCTTTTGTTTCTAGACTAGCATAAAAACTAGTGATCAGATTGACCTTCTAAGAGAGCAGCAAAAGATTTTGTCTGGAGAGGTGGCGCTCCATTCAAGTGCTTTGAAGCGATTGTCTGAGGAGGCCTCACAGAATCCCGAGAAGGAACACATCCAAGTACTTATTTTCTCCAGTGCCCTTGTTATTTTTCTGATCTTCCTGATGGCAATGTGATTTCAAATGTGTCTCTTGAATTTGTAAGCTGGAGATCAAGAAGCTTAGCGATGACATCAAGATGAAGAATGAACATATTTCTTTACTGGAAAAGCAAATTTCTGAATCACTAATCTGCTCACCCAATAGAATGGATGAACTTGATGTTACGCAGGTAAGTCTATTGGCTGCTTAGCTACTGCTTATGTTTTGTGGATACATTTGATTTTATCCCCTCTCTCCTTCTGCAGAAGCTTGCTGAGCTCACAACACAATTGAATGAGAAATCATTTGACCTCGAGGTTATTATTCTCTTACATTTCTATAAAAAAATGCTGTCCTCTGCTAGTTTGTTAGGGTCCTTCGACTTTTCTTGTCATTTGTTGTTAAGGCCTAAGGTTAGTAGGGTACATCGAATCTTGCTTGTCCTTTGTTTCTACTAGCCATATAAGCCAAACTGTTGGCACAAATCTTGCCCTTGTTACCATGTTCACCTCTACTTCATCTTAAGTGCATAAAATTCAGTTGGCTTTTGGAGCCAACGACCCAACATCCAGCTTGTCTTAGGATTTCTATTTAGTGTTTCCCTTTTCTAACTGTGTATATTCTTTCGTGTCTAAATTCACTTTCCTAAGGTCAAAGCTGCAGATAATCGTATAATTCAAGAGCAGCTCAATGACAAGGTACGAAAAATAATTTTTCCTCGAAAATAGTAACTCGTGTAAAAGTTCGATGCAATATGCTAAGCTTCCTGTAATACTGGCTCGCACCTCCTAAACTGGAAATTGCTCGTCATGCAGATATTGGAATGTAAGCAGCAGCAGGATACGATCGAATCATTGAAGCATCAGCTTGCAGATGCACTAGATCAAAGAAATCATAGCCCTTTGGACAGTCACGCCCAACAGTTTCTTGAAACGAAAGGTATTCATATCCAAAGTCATATGGATAAGGAAACTCCAGACTCTAAAGAGAGAAATGAGCAACTGCTACTACTGCAACAACAGGTTTATTTTCTTTCTGCTTTATTAGCCATGCAATTTCACCATTTTGTTTACTTGCATTGAATTTCCATATTGAAATGGAAGACATTCATTTTGCTTACCTTGCTAGATATTCAGTATATCTTAGTCTGTCAATGCAGTTGCTCTTATTTGTAGTGCACTCCCATTTTCCCTCTTAAATCAGGCTTCCGAGATTGAAGAACTGAAGCAGAAGGTTGGCCAGTTGTCTGACGCAAAAGACGAGCTAGAAAATCGGAATCATAAACTGGCAGAAGAGAGCACCTATGCCAAAGGACTAGCCTCTGCTGCCGCTGTTGAGCTCAAAGCATTATCCGAGGAAGTAGCAAAACTCATGAATCAAAACGATAGACTCTCCGCCGAGCTGGCAGCTGCGAAGACCTCATCGCCTACTCATCGCAGAAACAGCACCGGAGGTAGCACATTGCGAAATGGAAGGAGAGAGACTCAAGGGAAGCGTCTTGATCACCAAGCAGCTACTGGACTCACTGCAGATCTCAAGAAAGAGGTGGCCGCATTCCGGGATAGAGAAGCCCAATATGAAGCTGCGTTTGTCGAGAAGGAGCAGAGGGAGACAGAGCTCCAAAGGAAGGTCGAGGAATCTAAACAAAGAGAAGCATACCTAGAGAATGAGCTAGCCAACATGTGGGTACTCGTAGCCAAATTGAAAAAGGCACATGCCAATGCGGAATTGGAGGCTCCTGCTGCTGCTGCTGCTGCTCCTGGTCCAGAAAACGACTTGCTCCGGATCGAAGGTTTCGGCATTTGAAGAACTGTACGTATTTGAGCCAAGTGGCGGTATTTTTGAAATTGTGGGAAATGGCGGGTGGATTGGGTTTTTCTTATGTTTTTTCTTTTCTTTTCTTTTCCTGGTTGTTTGTGCTTCGTCTCTCGATTCTTTGGTTCCGTCGAATGTCAATGTAAGTATTTAGGGGGGAAAAAACTGAAAAAAGCCACCATAAAAAAAGAACGAAAACGAAAAAGGAAACTAGTAGTGCTGTTGTGTGTTGGGTTCCTCATATGATGTTTGATTTTGCGTGTACAGTTATCACTGTAATGATAACAGCTGATATTTAACCCGTGTTTGTTTGTAAATTCTATCCATCATCCAATTGAAGATTATTGATTGGTTTGAAGTTGGGTCTTTGGTATCTCAAGTGAACATGGAAAGATTCAAAGCAATTCCCAGGCCTAGACCAACCAACAACAAAAAAAATTGCCTGGCCCAACTATCTGTGGGGTACATTTCGAGCAATGAAGAATGAACCCAAATAAAAGAACCAAAAACCAATGTGCATAAATAAGAATAACAAATGATCAATGCCCTAACTTCAGCTTCAAGTCAACCTCGTTCCGATCAGCATAGTTACCGCGACACCATTCTTCTTTCCGATCGACCTCATTAGTGCTTCACGAAGAACCGAATCATTTCTCTTCCACCTCTATTCTTTCAATCTCTTATACTCAGGCTGCTGATACGATTTTTCACCTTTAAATTAGAAGTAACTATTTGTGGCTTCTTGTTATATTTCGAATAATAATGGGGTGGGAGCTCAAAGACCCCTTTTCCCTCTTCATCCTAACGCACCAACATCATCATCTTCTTCTTATCATCGTCGTCATTACGCCTTTTCAGAATTTATCGAACGATTCGAGAACTTCAAATTCGTGGTACCGGAGGGGCTCGCAGAAGGTGTTTGTGTTGCTTACATCGTCGGGCGCACTTGGAATACGATCAGTTGCTGCTGGTTACAGTCAATTGACAATTGCTGATGCTGATACTGATGATGAGTGGCCTAATTTCTCCATTATGTGGAAGAGCTGCCTAGGCGTTTTTTTAAAAGGTGCGATGGTTTGGTGATTATTTTTGTAATTAAACTTTGTTATTTTGTAATGTTTGTCGGTTTCTTTTGTAATGTTTGTAAGCTTTGTTATTTTTGTGCACCATGTTTATCAATTTTATCAACCATGTTGAGAGAGAGAGTTTTTTGCTGATCGGAGGAGATTTTTCCGGCAACCGAAGGAGACTTCCCAGCGACCAGTGCCGATGGAGAATGATTTTTCGGCGACAGTGCTATATTTGTGGTGTTTGTTGATCTATTTTGTAATGTTTTTATTGTTTATCATTCTTGTTTGTCATTTTTAGTGACATTTTGTACGGTTAGTAAGTTTTGTACTATTTTCCGTTTCTTTTGTAATGTTTGTAAGCATTACTATTTTGTAATGTTTGTCGTTTCTTATGTAATGTTTGTAAGCTTTGTCATTTTTGTCAACCATGTTTGTAATGTTTTTTATGTCTAATAAACAACATGGTTGACTTTTGGATGAAACTCTTCTATATAGATATGGAGCCTTCAACGTCAACCTGGGTGTTTTTCCAGTTTGTATGAATTGTCGGTCTAGTTTGTCATTTTTGTCCACCACGTTTGTAATGTTTGTATGTCTAAAAAAACAACCAGGTTGACTTTGGACGGAGCCCCTCTATATAGGATGGAGCCTCCAAAGTCAACCTGGTTGTTTTTTCTTTTTGTATGGTTTGTATTGTTTGTCGGTGTAGTTTGTATTGTTGAACAGTTCATTATGTTTGTAATTTTTTGTAAATCTATTAGTATATTTTGTCGTTCTAGTTTGTACTGTTTGTATGTTTGTACGGTTTGTACTGTTTGTAAGTCCATTTTGTATACTTCGTAATTTTTCATAATACCGAAACTAACCATGTCATTAATTAAAAAAAATCTTCCCATTTTTTAACCATTGGATTGATGTGTTCAGATCTAAGGGCTGGGAGGGGCTTAGTCAAGTGACTAAGCACCCCTTAATCACAGGATCAGCACTCATAATAGTGTAGCCTATGCATCTTTTTTCTAATTACTTCCGAATATAAAATATTTTCAAGTGTATGAAATTCGTGATTTTTGCACATCATTTTCCGGATGTTTTCAATGTATAAATGAAGTAAAGATGGTAAATAACATTTTGATCATATATAGAATAACAACTCACTCGCCCAAATATGTATTTTTCCTTTATATGCATGGATGTCATTTTACTTATTTGTTTTTCTTATAATAGTTGCTACATTAATAGTTGCCATTTTAATTTATGAAATTTATGTATATCTTTATTTCATTATAAAGGTTTTTTCCCATAGGAAATGAAAGTTAATTATAAATTTTTTTTTAAAAATCTGACATTTCATAGTTTTCTTACAACGAGGAGAGTTGGACATTGTAAAAAAAAAAAAAAAACGAGAAGAGTTGGACAATAACGACTTTTGGCATCTCAAGCGACAATGAAAGTAAAAAAAATGCATTGTAAAAAAACAACCTCTACGTATACCTAGTTTTAGTTTGGTGAACTCTGTAGTTTTTTTTTTTTGAAAGAAAACTTGGTTCCATTAATTAACCATAGATATCAGTTGCTCTACAATCCTCTTTGAGAAGAGGTTCAAGAAAAAACGGTGGTCTATCCATCCATATTTCTTCTTCATCCCAATTGCAGCTCACATGTGCCATAAAATGGGCTGGTTTTTTGAATTCCCGCCCCACAAAACTCCAGATGACCCTGTCAAACTCTTGGGCTTTGGCCCGAACCTCCTCACATAGCAGCACATTTTCCGTTTGTCTTTCTTCTTCTCGTCTAAGCTGGGAGATGATTCCCAAGCTATCTGATTCCATTTCCATTTCTCGAAAGGTCATCCTCCTCGCCAGCTCCAAGCCAAAATCAATGGCCATCACTTCAGAATCTTCAGGGTTCCACTGCACTCTCGATCGCTTTACTGCTGCAAGCAGGCATCGGCCGCCGCCATCCCTAATCACAGCTCCCCAGCCCGTTCCTTTCCCCGACATGCAAGCCGCATCAACATTCACTTTCACCGGTATCAGTTCCGGCGGCCGCCATCGGAGATCAGGAGCTCGTTCAACCCCCTGTGTCTTCGTTTGTTTCTCCAGGTAATCCTTCAGCCATTCATTTGCCCTGGGTGCTATCTCCCATTCTTCCAATTTTTTCTTATTCCACAATTGACAATTGCGCTGATCCCAGATGTACCATAGGGCCACAAGAAAAGACCCCAGTTGTTCGTCCGACTCCGTTTCCTGCAGCTCACAATACCACTCCTCCGAGGTAAGGTCCTCCCCTCTTTCTATGTATGAACCCATCGAACTTGATCTCCAAACCCTGCGTACCCATCCGCAATCGCGGAAAATATGTTCATGTGTTTCCTTTAGGTCACAGAAAGGGCATCCTTCAGAGCCCTTTTGAGTTTGTTCTACAATCCTAGCTCCCGTGGGAATAATGTTTCTTAACCATCTCCATCCAAACACTTTCACCTTTGGGGGTATTTTAAGATTCCGGAATCTCTTCCATCCGACTGGCGTGTATAGTTCTCCCTCCTCCTCCTCATTCCTGCTCTCCCAGAGTCTATAGGCTGATTTAACTGAGTATTCACCCCTTTGCTCCTTACTCCAAATTCTCCTATCCTCCATTGGCTACTTGGGGATGGGGATTTTTTGAATCAAAACTCTATCCTCCGGATTGAAGTGCGCCTGCAGTAACTCAGTTCGCCAACTTCGTGTCTGGTGGTCGATTAATTCAGCTACTGAGGTTGATGCCCCCCAAACCGTAGTTGGGGATGTTACTCTTAAGTTTTTGCTCGCTGGTACCCATTTATCCAGCCATATGTCAATCTTGTTTCTATTTCCCAGCCTCCATCGCATCCCTCGCTTGACCAAATTCTTCGCCGCCATAAGTCCCCTCCAAATCCAGCTAGGATTACTCCCCACCTCTGCTTCCAATGGATCCCTGTCATGGAAATATTTTGCCTTTTGTACTTTCGCCTTGGTGAACTCTGTAGTTGACCATGAATGAAATGTCAAGGTCCTACTCCTAGGTTAAACTTGTAAACGGTGTATGTGCTATTCTTTTTTTTCATTCCTCAAAGCGTGTAGATTGTAGAATGACATGATATGCCGATTTCACATGGCTCCGTCGTTACTATCAATTGCCGAACCATAAATATTCTATTAAAAATAATGATTGTACTTATAATTATTCATTATTCAATTCGGTTATGAATAAACGTCACTACTAAAAGACCACGCGTATGTGTAAGACATGCATGCACGTAGCGCGCTCTTTTAATATTACGCACTAACAATAATTTCTCAATCTAAAAATATGTTTCAACGTTTTATTCTCACAGTTCTGGCATGATACTTCATCAATAACTAAAAACTGCTCATTATTTTCTCTCTTTTATACCTCATGAGCATTAAAACCAAAATCTTTGTCTTAAGATTCCAATGCCACAACCTCTCAATCAAGTCTGTTTGGCAAATGAAAATTTCACAGGAAGTTTTAAGGATAAATACAATTTAATATCCAAACCTTTCATTTTAAACAATATAATAGTCAAACCTTTTCGAAAACAATCTAATATCCAAATCGTCAACTTTCCGTCCGTTTGACCGTTGGTTGACACTTCAAAAACGCTTTGTTTAGGGGAAATTGTCACAATACAACTTTGTTTTCTTGTTTTGGCATTGCAGATGACTGAATATTTAGATATTCTATACCATCATGGTGGAGTCATGGACTTCTCGGGTTTGGAACCACGATATGTTGGTGGTTTTTCAGAGAAGATATCGATGGATATTGATGAAGCGTCGTATTTCGAACTTTTTTGAAGTGTCAACTAACGGTCAAACGAACGGAAAGTTGACGATTTGGATATTAGATTATTTTCGAAAAGGTTTGGCTATTATATTGTTTAAAATGAAAGGTTTAGATATTAAATTGTATTTACCCAGGTTTTAACTAGTTCGAATTCTTAAGTATCATTACTCAGTTCTCTTTGAAATCTGGCTAAGTTTTGAAGAAAGGTCTGAAATTTGCATCCAATTAGCCAGCGAAAAGATCCAATTTACCTTCAAACACATAGCGATAAGAGTCGCAATTCAATTCAATTGAATTAAGTTGCTTCATTATTAATTCCTCATCACAACATCAATTCATCATAACATGGCGATAATAATCAAACCCTAGAGCTTCAAAATCTACTAATCCGAATTCTTCGGCGGCCGTGTCGGCTCCGGATCCACCACATCAGCAGGGGCCGCCGGCGGCGGGTTTTCCTCGTCGCCATCATTACTTGGGCCGTCGACGCCAGCAGGGCCGCCGCCGCCGGCCACCGAGTCCTTGTCATCAATAATAATGATTGGAGCCGCCGCCGCCGCCGCGTCTTCCTTGTCATCATCATTAATAACAATTGGAGCCGCCGCCGCCTCCGCGTCCATCTTGTCATCACCACTTATAATAATTGGAGCCGGAGGATGCTCACCACTCGGAGGAGTACCGGTAACCGCCGCCGCCGGAGGTGCTTCACCGATCACAATCCGACTCCCAAACAGCCTAATCTCATTCACACTACCGCCGCCGCTAATCGTCGAACCAAACAGCCTAACAATCCCATTCCCACCACCATCGCCGCCGCTGTTGACGCCCTGCACTCTCCCGGAGAGATTCCTGGTGAGCCGGTCCCGCCGCCACGCGTCCTCCTCGTCCTCCTCCTGTCCGCCGCCGCCGAGGATGTCCGACAACGTCCTCTTACCCTGCCGCGCCATCGGCGGCGGCAACGGCAACGGCAGGGGCAGGGGAGGCAGGGGAATCCCCATGATAACCGGAGCGAACATCTGCTGCTGGCCTCCTCCAACCCTAAAAAGCTGGTGCTGACGTGGCGTCGGAGGAGGGATGGACGCGAGCGGGACCACCTGGAGCGGTGGTGGTGGGCCGGGCCGCGGGCTTGGGGGCTCGTCGGGTAAGAGCTCGCTGATTCGGGCCTCGATGTCGGCCTGCAACTCCTCCTGGGACTGGGCCGCAACCACTTCAAGAAGCCTGCGGTCGGAGTCGGCGGGCGGTTCGAGGCCGGCCCACGACGAAGAAGACGACGGCGTATCTGATGGCTTCTTCGTCATGCTGCTCTGCAGCGCCAGCAAAAGCGTGAGGAGGAAGCTGAGGTTGGAGATCAGCTGGTCGTTGGAATTGGAAGGGCCGGCGGTTTGGGGCATTTGGTAGTACTTGTTGTTTTGTTTTCTGCCTGAGATGTAGAGATGGAAAAAAGGGAAGGCAGGCTCGGGTTGGATTATATATATATTTGTGCAAGTGTAACGGCGAGGTTGAGATAGGCCTCGAGTGAAAGATTGTGTATATAAGGAAGGACGTCTAAGCATTGGATATATTGTTACCAAGAGTGTTGGGAATTTTCATTTATCACTTTTTTTTTTCAGGGGGTGGAATATATGTTCATTACAATGCCAAATATGTATATGGAAAGAAATTAGAAGGCTTTGGGGGTATGGCCTATGGGGTATATATGTCAACTCTTGTTTTTTCAAAGATATGGTTTGAATGTATGACCAAATATATATGTGTTTATCTGAAATTCGAAACTATTGACGTCGATCTGTGTAGACAGTTATATAGATTAACTTTGTTCTTTCGATGAACAATGGGTTTTCGGAGAGACCTAGCTAGATATAACGTGATCTTTTTGTCTGTTTGTAATATCGGTTTTCTTAGGGTTTTGGGTTGAAGATTAGTGTAGTATGAATTTGAGGTCTAAATTCATTTATAAAGATTTTGATCGCGTCGGTTTGATCAGGAGACTTGCGACGATGGTAAGTTGCTAATCGATCAATGCATATTAAGTTTTACTATAATGTTAACACCCAAGTCGATCGATTAGTAAACACACGACGATAATAATAATTTTTCTTGCAATATAATCAATCAATATGTAAAAAAAGATTTACAATCATGTTAACATATGAACGATCGATTGGTAACGTACGTTAGTAGTAAACTTTCTGGCATATGGATTAGGGTTTATAGCTAATTATTATTCTTTTCGGTATCGTTCGACTTACTTTTACCTTTTATCAATCAACTAGTTATAAGTATTCGACCATTCACTAATTATGATCATTTGGTTGATACGGGAAATTTCAATTGAGATAAGTGCTTGAGAATCAATAATGATCAACGTCTAGTTGATCAGCCATGTATGAGAAATTAAATAACAACACCTTACTGGTTAGAAACCTCTAAGAAATTAAGTAGTAGTATGATTCAGCAGTAATATGTGAACAATTAAGAGAGGCTGTGTTTTTATTTGTATTTTTTTTTTATAATTCACCTGAATTTGTCATTATTGAATCATAATATTCATATAATCAATCCACAATGAGGTTCAACAAAAAACCAGAGATGAGTTGTTCAAATCTTCTAAATAAACACCACCAATCCTATCAGACTCATCTCTTATCTCTCTTCAAACTTCCCCAATCTCTGTCAAGCTCATTTCTTCATCTCTTAGTCTGCCGTAGAGCGTCTATCAAATATTTTTGACACCAAGTTGGTCCATTAGTAACACATGATAATACTAATATTTTTTTTTATTAGTTAATATACAAAAAAGCTTAAAAGAATGTAGCATATGTTTGATTGATTGGTAACGCGCATTAATAATAGACTTTCTAGCATATGGATTAGGGTTTATAACTAACTGTTATTCTTTTCGGTGTCGTTCAACTAATTGTTATTCTTCATTCGACCATTCACTAATGGTGATCATTTGGTTGATACATGAGAAATTTCCATTAAGATAAGCGTTTGAGAATCAATAACAATCAACATCTAATTGATCAACCATATATAAAAGAAATTAAATAACAACACTTTGCCGGTGAGAGACCTTTAAACAGGGAAAAATTTCCCACAATACAATGGTTGCTAAAACAAATTCTCATTATGCAACACTTTGCAAGTAATTTCTCAAACTATAAGACTTTGGCGTGGATCGCTGGACAATGCAACGAGCTAGAAAGGGGTATGTAGGAGAGATCAACGAACTAGATGATTCGTTGGCATTACCAACGATCTCTTAAGACCTTTGTCTCGGTTCGCTGCTTTGACTTGTTCGCTGGCGGGGAACAAAGGTAGTTCGTACTTCGTAGGATAAAGAAGCAACATGAGCACAAAAAATATGGCAAAGGAGATCGAGGTTCATCGAGCTTTTGCCATTTTAAGGTATGTTTTGGTTATATTGGTTGTACTATGGGTAGGGTTGTTTTATTCTCGGGTAACCGCATAACCAAACCGCCAAGCTTAGTTTCTTGGCTGACCAAAAGCTATTGGGTATTGGTCTGAGGAGCATTCTAATAGATGTTGGCGCAATGCCACATGTGGAGAAGCTATGTATTCAGAGGTGCAAGTTACTGGAATAGGTGCCACTACAAAACTGAAGGTTTTGCAGTTCTTCGACTCTGTGATTTGATCAAGGAATTGTCGTTGAACGAACCTGAGGTAACATTACTGGAGAGTTGCCCACATCCCAGAAGTTTATGCATGCTATATTGGAGAGAAGCTGGCTGGGAGATCCATTCTCTAGAGAGTGGCAACTGCTCGCCCAATGAAGAGCTCCACCTTTGCTGGAAATAAGTTCACAAGTGTGAAGGGTTTGTTGTGAAACATCCCATCACCATGGTTTAGAATATGTTCGACCGAAGGAACGAAGTGGTGAGCCACCTTTCAACATGGGAATGCAACCTAACTTACATATCAAAACCTAGAACTCCCGACAGGTTCATCGCCGTTAAGGTGAACCTGAAACTGGTGCAGGTTACCACAGAGACATAAGAAAAAAACCAGTATCTACAGTCACTTTTTTCCTCCACAAGAAAGAGTGCACCAATGGATCATCGGATTGACTGTGTTTGTAACATTGAAATGCATTTTGATAAGCAAACATTCAAACACAAGTCTTGCTATCAAAGTGCAATATAAATCAACTATATGCAGCAAGCTATGACGCCACTGATAAAGAAATCCAGCATTGATGCCATGAGCAACAGATAGATAACTAAACCATACACAGCAAAATAGAATGCAATGGCGTATAAATGAAACCATATATAGCAACTGTGAGCCATGGAAATTTACCATTATAAGCATCCCATAGAGTGAACTGTGAGCCATAAGGCATCCTCTCAATGCACAGAACTCACTGTCAAACAATCCAACCCACAACTTAAGCTAAAAGTTCCTTATATAATTTTCTCCCATTGTTCTCTCATCTTCTATTCTGATGACTGGAGTCTCTAAGCAGTCATAAATATGAAGAGCATAGCATAATTGAATAAATAGCATCCATGGCACAATCAAACCAACAATTTAAGCAATGGTGAGCGAACACAGAGAGAGGAAAGGGAGAAACTTTGCAGAAGAAAATGCAATTTCCACGGATGTATATCTTGTTTCAGTAACTTTAAGCCATAATCCTGATAACCAGAATCCAGTAAACATCATGTTCCCCAAAGTTATCCACCATAAACATTACAGAAGTTTCGGAATCAGAACATTCATTGCCTATTCAACTCAAATTACCAGGCACCTTCCACAATGAACTTGAAAACTGGCCAAAATCCCCAACTAGCAGTTCCTGACTTCCTGTGATGCATTTCAATTACCCAGACTAAACGAACCTGATCAATTGGTTTTGGGATCCGGCATGGGGAACAATCCAGCTGCGGCAGCTCCACGCGGGGGAGAGAATCCCAGGAACTTCTGGAGATTCGTACGGATGCTAATCGAGCACAGGAAGTACAAGAACGCCATGGAACAATCCGTCGGGTCGTCGCCTTGCAATCCCCTGTGGCTCATCTTCTTCACGAGCGCAATCGGGTGGAACGGCAGCTTCGCGACGACTTTCCCTTGGAACATCGAGTTCAACAGGCCGAAGACGATGAAGAGCACCAGCGCCACGACGGCTCCAGATTTGAACTTGAAGAGGGAGAGGTCGCGGCTTGACTCCTTGAGCGAGGTCTCCACGCGATTGATCTTCTTGGACTTGGATTTCTTCGTCACGATCTTGTTGGTGTCGGTTTTCATGGTCTCCAGCTTCTTCGAAGCTTTGTCGATGGAGGACTTGAGCGACTTGTAGGAGCTTGTTCGGTAGATCAAGATCCAGGAGATTGCCTCGCAGACCACGGCGGTGCAGAGAGAGATCCCGACCACCGTCAGGCTGTCGCCGTACTTGAAGGAGGAGAGGAACTGAGGCGTTGCCATCCCGCCGTAGAGAGTGTTTGGTACCTAGGAAAGTCGGAAATCGGAGAAATTGGAGATATCGTCGGAGAAGTTAAAGCCGAGTTACTCACCGAGTCAAAGATAAGAATAGAGTTCGATTTCGATCTGACAGTGGGAAGTTGCGTTGCTTTGGTTGGAGACGGAGTGCGTCACAACAAGGCTGGGCCGGGCTCTCATTTAATGGGCCTATATGGCTTCATGGGCTTACTAGAGAACAACAACAAAACACTTTTGTTTGGAAGGAAAATGTTCACCGTTCTGGCGTTCTCCTAATTATCCAGTCGGCCGGAATTAGTCCCCCAAAAATTGGAGCTCTGCAACTGCAAATCCTTTTCTTTTTCCAGTCACTGAAAGTCCCGCCGCCGTCAGCCAAAATCTTCCGCGCGACTGCCGATCTCTCTTCATCTGATTACAGTCGTGAATCTCCTTATTATTCCTGCGTATGGTTTGAGTTAATTTTCGCATCTTCCTGCTCTGCCTTCGTCTCTGTTTGACTACGGATTGCTTCTATTCGTCATTTCATCATTTGATCGATCGATCGATCGATTGATTGTTTGTTCTTTATGTAAATAGGTAGACAGCGGCTGATGGGAAGAACAAGGAGAATTCTCAACGACTTGGACGGAGAAGACGACAGTTGGGTGATTGTGAAAAGGCAGCGAGTCACCATCTATATTCCTCCGCCACCGGATGCTGAGAAACCCCCACCGGTGTTGCCGTCCCCTGCACCTACCAGTGAGAAAGCCACGCCTGCAGAAATTGTGAACGCTGGTGAATCAACGGATGCTGCTTGTGCGAGGATCTCGCCCGAGGAGGCAGATGTGGTTCGAATGGATCACGGTAGGGCTGGTACAACTGCCACTATGGTAGGAGTATCAAGAACATCAAGAAATGTCAAGCAGCCGAGACTGTTTTTGCCTAGGCAGAGTATATTCGACAGTGGGGCGGCATTGAACCAGACGCTGAGGGCATCGCTCGTGGAGAGGAAGATCGAGAAGGCTGGTGGGTTGAGCAACTGGTTGGCGTCGCTAGGGTTGGGTCAGTTCGTGAGGATCTTCCGCGACAGGAGCGTTGGTAAGTTTCAGCTGGTGAACCTGACAATGAAGAAGCTGAAAGATATGGGCGCTGATGCTGTTGGTCCAAGGAGGAAGCTGATGCATGCTATTGACTGCATTTGCCAGCCATACTGCTTTGGTTCCAAGTGAAAAAGTCTGTCCAGTACGATTTTACTTCTTTTGTTCGTGGTACTTCTTCACTAATTAGCCTAAGAAGAACAATAGACTGTTGTCACTCCTGTGCGAAAATTACAGGGAGGGAGCTCAAGATCTCGAATTCTATTGCTTGCTTCTGAAGAAGCAGGAAGAAAAGGACGGATAGAATGTCTCGACGTAATCCATTTACACTAAAATGACGGTAGAATTACTGGAAATACACGTTAGAGCCATTCTTTAGGGTTGATGCAAGCATCCAACAGTTTCCACTCTTCACTTCCTTCTTCTGGTTTCTGTTATATAGCCAAAGATAGCTTGTTTGTTAGGCAGCTCACCATGTCATTCGACCCTGAAGGCTGAAACACAAGCAATACTGGAAGAACTTACATGGTCATACTCCCACCGAGCAGATAGCGGCAACGAGACAAGAATGCTCTCTATTCGACCTCCAGTCTTCAGGCCGAAAGTTGTGCCCCTATCATACACCTTCAATTCCGCCATATAACAAACTCATCAAGTTGACAAATATTCTAGGCAGCGTTGCAGCAATTGTACAAGGATGCGATAGTTTTTCATTTACCAAGTTGAATTCTACATAGCGGCCACGACGCAACTGTTGCCATGCTTTCTGCTGCTCAGTAAATGGCATATCCTTCCTTCTCTCCACGATTGGAACATATGCGGGGATCACAGAATTCGCACACTCTGAGATCAACAAAATACAGGATTTAAATAATTGAGACCTGCTTAATAGAACAATCAGGAATCTACTCATGATTCAGCCGAGACAGAATACCATACCAGTTGCAAAAGCAAGAAGCATCTCTTGATCATAGTCATTAAGATCATCAAAAAATATTCCCCCAAGTCCTCGCCTCTCACCTCGGTGCTGCACACAACAACAAGCAACACATTTTAATTAAGTCGTCTGTTGATCAAAATCTCATTTGCTATAACATGAGGAATACATCTATATGATCACATTATGTTCTTATACACCTACGGGACCATATGCAATGCAGAAGGAATAGATTACAATGACTAACAATGCAATAGCTCTGTAAAAGCACCTGCTTGTCCATAATATCCTATCAGGCAGCCATACAAATAGCAGAGTATATAAAGAACTACGGCATATTTTGCCCTTAATTATTAACTACTACTGATACTACTAACATTTTCTTAAGAAATGGATTTGTGATATGATATAAAGGAAGTAAGAGCCAACACTTGAGATATTACATCGATAGTGATACATCAAACAACCAGAACAAACACTACAGAAATATATTTTCCTAGTACAGACCTTGATGTAGAAATAATCATCACACCATTGCTTGAACCGTGGGTAAAATGTGGGATCAAATTTGTCACATGCCTTCTTTTGAGTCTGAAAAGTAATAAGTAACAAGATCAAAAGCGAAGTGAGCAGAAACTAAATCCAAATTCTAAAATTGTTTTAACAGAAATATGATCAATCTATCCCTAAAAACATGATAAGACACATATACAGAACATTTCAGATACATAAGAGCAGACAGTGAACGATATCAATGGAATGTATACCGAATGGAAATGCTTCACATCATCCTCGAAGATATAAGCTGGGGTTAGGTCAGTCCCACCACCAAACCACCATTGCCGAGGGGCTCCAGGAGTATCTGTATGCAGAACAATGTTTAGTGACACACCAGTATTTGCACCAAAGCATTCTGGAGTGGTGGCACACACTTCACACAGAATGCTCCGTATGCAAGAATGATTAAGTCTAAGCAGTTCAGCGACTAGCCAGCTACTATCATAAGTCCCAAACAAGAAAAAGGTAGCAGCAGGTTTCAGAACATTAGCGCTCAACTTTGGTCAGCGACTGCAATTAACATAAAGAAAGGGCTCACACTGAAGTATGGCACTAATTTCAAGCAGATCATCTAGCAGTCACATGTCTAACTAGTTACGAAAACTTAAAAGCTCGTGAAGTTCATTAACAACATATCTATCTGCTGAATGAAATCAAGTGGATTAAGCATGCATTCACCAACTATCAAACCATATTAGAGCTGAATGTTTACAAACGCAATGTTCATCTTGCCTAGCAACACCAGATTACCAACTTTCTAAAAAAATATAACACTGCTGAGTTAGATTCAGGTGAGATGATTTCATTTTCATTGCATTGCATAGTACAAGTCAGATAGAAGAGCATTACAAAGAGAACTGACGAGATAAGATGAGGAAAGCTAACCTTTGGGAGCATCAGTCTCGAAGTATCTATAGTTAAAATGCAATGTGGGAGCAAAGGGATTCTTGGGATGCAACACCTGAGAACAAAGAATATGTCCACCCAATCGAATCAAAGAGGATAGAAAACGAAAACAGGAGTTTACTTAGCCCTGCATGGTAGAACAACACAAGCACATTATGGATTGTGATGAGTACCCAGAAGACACTAAACAGAAGGCAGAAACTGCTGAAACAGAACAAGTGTGCAGGAAATGGGAGATTACAGAGCTGATTCCAGCTGCGAAGAAAGGAATGGGGCCAGGTTTCTGATCGGTAGAAGCCGACCTTGCAGCTCTATACGCTTCAGGGGGCATAACGCCGTAGACAACGGACACATTGACTCCGGCCTTCTCAAAAACGGCTCCGTCCTGCAAGACCCTGCTAATGCCTCCGCCGCCGCCTGGTCTGGACCAGACGTCTTCTTTAAACTTACCGACTTTATCGACGGCTTCGAGGGCCTGGCAGACGCTATCCTGAGCATCCCTGATCATCTTCTCAAAACGAGCCCTCACCTCTCCGGTCTCCGATTCTCTGAGAAATGTGTCGGGGCGCTCCGCCTCCATCGTCTCCTTCTCAATGGAAACCGCCGCCGCCGGCCGCATTGAGAGAGGGGAGCGGAGGGGAGAGAAATGCGGCTGCCATCGACTGATTTTGGAACTAGAAGGGAAGGAGAGCGAATTGCCTTTGCCAACGAGGAGGGAAGGAGTGTGAGACGGAGAAGGAATGAGAGGCGCGAAGGAGGAGGACGCGGATGCGGAGACGGTCGGAAGCATCTTTCCGATTGCGGCGGCGACGATCAGCAATAGCTGAGAGGGAAAACCTTCTCACGAAGAAGCGATTTTCTCGGCGGCAGCCGACGGCGGGTGGTGGGAAGAATCGAGGTGAAGCGTCGGAGAGCGACGGCTAGCAGCGGTGATTTTGACTGGCGAGTCCGATCTCCCCGATTATCTTCTTTCTCATCTAACGAGGATAAACCCTATCGGTAAACGACGAAAGAGAAAACGCGAAACACAGTTGGCAGAACTGAAACGCGTCGTTTCATCACTATCAAACCTCGAGGAAAACGGTGGGCGGTTTCGTTGCTGCATTGCCGTGCCGAAACCTGGATCCACACTCAAGTCAACGAAACTTGACGAAATGAAAATTAAGGATTTTTTCAGAAATAACAGTTTAAAAAAAAATCAAAAATAGCATCCAACTTCGAAAAATTCCAAAAATAGCACCATTTTCCAAAAACCGCCACCCGTAGCAGCGGTTTAGACCAAAACCATCACCCGGGGGGCGTGTTTTTTGATGAAAACCGCCACCCGTACCAGCGTTTTTGGGACGAAGGTGAGACCAAACCACCTTCAGCAGTCTTCGGCTTGCAAGATCTCAAAAAGTTATGCAGAACCAAAAAAAAATCGCGGCGATCGGATACCCGAACACAAAGATATGTTCGTTTGAAGTTTCCACCTAGGTTAGGATTTTTCAAAAAAAAAAAACAGACCTCATAGTGGGGGTGTGGTCTGCAATCAAACCGCATGGTGGGTGTGCGGTTTGCAAAACCGCCCCCTACCAGTGCGGTTTTCATCGAAAAACGCGCCACCGGGTGGCGGTTTTCGCCTAAACCGCTGGTCCGGGTGACGGTTTTTGGGAAAGGGTGCTATTTTTAGAATTTTTCAGACTTAGGTGCTATTTTTGGAAGAAAAAAATTAAACAGTGCTATTCTGAAAAAATCCCTGAAAATTAAGAACAGCAAGTTCCGCAACTAGCAAAAAGGAACACATTTTAATTTGGAGAACTAGCTGTAGCAATTTGCAAGAATAAAATGTAGTGGACATTTAGTTTTTTTTTTTTTTTTTCTTTCACAAAGAGCTAATTTATCAAAATGATTGGGGACAAGCTTGATCAAGATGTTGAGAGATAAGATTAGAGGGTTGTTATTTATCTTTCAAGCCTTTATTATTTGTCGTCCATGTTTTTAGTGAAATTGTCATTTCTATCCTTATTCGTTTCATATATTCTATTTTAACTTGGGGTGGTTTCACACCAATACAAACCCTCATTCCACCACCAGCAGACCACCACCGTCGGAGCCAACCTTGCCGGCAAACCACAATCGTTGGAGCCGATTTTGCAGGCAAATCAGACTCGTCTGCAAACCACCTGAGCTAACTGCAATTGAGGTAATTCTCTGTCAACAATGAGGATTTTTTCGGCAGCTGGTAACCAATGCAGTCAAAAGCGTGATTCTACCTAAAATCGTAAAGCGTTGAATCAAAACGTAAAAGCGTAAGTTTTTGACACATACCGAAAAATAACTAAAAATCTATTAACACATATACTATATAAAATATGATGCACAAAATTTAGATGAAGTTAATAAATAAATGCAATTCATGCATAAGTTAACAATAAGCCACATTTTCTTCTATGCTAATGAATTTGGGAAGAGCCTAGCTGGTGAATTAGATTACTCTATTGAAGTTGAGAATGCATCCAAGTATCTGGTATGTATCTTTTAATCTCAAATGTATCATATTGTTAGTGATTTAATTTTAAAATATACTTTTATAATTAATTTCATGAAAAGAATACCCATTTAGTGAACTAAAAGCGTAAAAGCGTAAAGCGTTTTGGTTAGCTAGAAGCGTAAAAGCGTAAACTTTTAAGCTTTAAAGCGCAATTTAGTCTGATTTTATACACTTGAGTTTTTATATGGAAACAAAAGCGTAAAACCGTAAATTTTTGTCAAAAAAAGTTGGAGGGCAAAAGCCACAAATTTTTACATAAGATAGGAGTGTTTCGTGTCGATCTTAATTTAAAAAAGAGTTGAGCTCAAAATTCGTTTTCCCATTTATTAAAACAACATTGGATATATTATTCGAGATTAACATCAAGAAAATGATTATTAGCTTGAATTTCATCTTACTTAATTCATTACGTAAAGTTTAAGCCAACTGGTAAAATTAAAACAAAATTTGCACATATTCTTGAATATTAACATCAAGAAAGTGATCATTCGGCTTGACTTTCATCTTACTTCATTGCATAAAATTCAAATTCTACTGGTAAAATTTATAAAAAAAATGCACATATTCTTTAACCTGAACATCAAGAAACTAATCATTAGCTTGAATTTCATCTTACTTTCATTACATAAAATTCCAAGCTAACCAGTACGACTCAAACAAAATTCGCACATATTTTTGGGCATCAACATAAAAAAAAAAGTGATCATTAGCTTGAACTTCATCTTACTTCATTAAGTAATCAAAATTCCAAGCCAACCAGTAAGAGTAAAACAATTTTTGCACATATTCTTAACCATCAACATCAATAAAAGTTATCACTATATAGCTTGAATTTCATCTTACTTCGTTACGTGAAATTCCATACCCATACCCTCTATAAAAACCTACCCCGGCCAAACCCAACATTTTTTGGTACATGCATGCAACGTAAAAAAAACAAAAACAAAAAAATGCCAACATTCGAATTGACGTCCGACAGCGAATTTATCATGGCATCCACCGACGAACGCACGGACGTCATAGTTCTGGAGTACTCCGACGACCCAACTGCCCTAGAGATGATCCGTCCTTCTCCCATCTCCGGCGAGTTGATCGACGGCGTTAGGGTTGGAGCTTCCCCAAAGGCCGAATACAACGCGCTCGAAGTCATGGGCGCGGTGATAAAGAAGAGGAGACTCAAAGAGCTGGCCAAGGACCTCGTCCTTCCACTGCTGGACGGCGGGTTCCTGCCTCTCTTGGTCAACCGCCGCGGCCTCTGCCTGGCGATGGACATCGACCACCCGTCGGTTTGGAGGCTGAGGATCAACGACTACTTTGGCTGGTCCAAATACGGCGTGAGATCAGAGATTTCGGACGCCGGCTGCGTGTGGAACAAATGTGACATGTACAATGGTGCGGTGGTGGTGGATGTGGAGGAAGCCATGAGCGCCGTCGAGGAAGCCAGGGAGCTGCGAGTTGCCCTGAAAGAGAAGAAGAGAGTGATACAGGACGGGAGGTCGGAGCTGGCCGTGTGTAGGAAGGAAGTGGAGTGCATGAGGGAAGTGGTGGAGAAGAGCAACAGAGAGGTGGCGATGGTGAAGGCTCGGCTTCAGGCTTTCAAGGCGGGGCTTAGGTGCTTAGTGGATGATGATCATCATGACGGGGAGTAAGCAACTATACGATTATACTAGTATAAGCCTGCGCGCTAGCGATTCGGCGTTCGAGCGCGCGTGATATTTTAAGGAATAATAATTTGAATGTTGATGAAAAAGTAAAAGGGATCTTATTTTATTTATAATCTTTATTTCCATGGGTTTGTCAGCTATAATAACAACACGTTGTCGGTGAAGCGATGAACTTGCATAAGAGAGAAGAGTTGTCGAGCAATGATTTCTATGTTTAAATTTCTCTCGTGATGCTATTGTTTCAGCTTGTACTCTTTTTTATTAGTTTGTTTGTTTTTTGGATTTAAAGTCATCTTAATTTTTTTTTATGAATTACCGAAACTTATCGCAAGTTTGAGTAGGTTCAACACGCATTCATGACCAAGTTGAATTAGGCTGGATACTCATGGGTTTTAGTGTCATTCTCAAACTAAAAGAAAAGGAAGAAATTAAAATACACTAAAACAGGTAAAACTCGCTTCAGACATAAAACTCGTCAACACCGGGTTCAACTCGTTTTGACAGGGTTGAATCGATTTTTTTAAAATTCACACCCAGCACAACCCGCCAATTACAAAGTCAGATAAAACTCGCTCCCGACCAAAAACTTGTAAAAACCGTGACTCGCACGAAACTACACCACAAATTAATCCCGACTAGAGCCCAAGTTTTTAAACTCTAGTCGGGTGCAGTATAGAGCAAGTATTTAAATTGTTAACCGACCTGATACATGTACCCCTACTTCAATCGCTTAGGTTGTTATCTAGCAAACAACTTTTGGGTTTTCAAACTAAGAAAACTACAAACTAAACAAGCAAAGAAAAGAAAAGTATATAAAAGAAAATTCTAACTAAGGGAGCTTCACCCAGGAGTTACTTCCCCCTAACTAGCTACCATGACTCGTTGGATCGAATGGAGTCGTGTGGTGTAGGTGATTTTGAACCGCGGGGGTGAGCAACTAGTGATCGATTTGTCACGAAATCAAATCACTAGCGATCGATTTGTCACGGGATCGATCCACTCACCAGATCTAGGGGAACCACTAGGAGGAGCAACTAGTGATCCATTTGTCACAGGATGGATTCACTGGAGGTCGATTTGTCACTGGATTGATCCTCTCACTCAGTCACTAGTGGTTGCCTAGGTCTTTCCCTCAAACCGGCGTTTGAGCGGTTTAATCACAACCAACCTAGATGCAAACTGGTAACCGCGAACCACAGAGGGATGCATATGTGGTCGGAGACCACAATCTCAATTGCTAAACTGAGGTAAGCATGAAAGGCCGTGTCACTCGACCCTCTCGGTTTAGACAATCGGCAGTTGACTTACTCCCTCACTCAACTTTAAGGTCGACGACTTAATCGCGATTAACCGACTTGCTTAACTCAATATTGAGGGTTGCCCTAACTTAACCTAGTTTAGGTGGCTTAGAAAGCGGAAGGAAAACCAACTCGATTGAGTCTCCCTTGGAAGGGGGATTTTCCTCTCTAAGCTAGGATAAGATGGCTAATTAGATTGCTAGCACCAACATGCACAAAGCTAAGGGTACTAAGAACAGTTATGCACAATCCTTAGATTGCTAAGCACGAGCATGCACAATCACCATGAAAACACCTCTAATACTCAAATTGATGCAAACCCACACTTAATCATTCAATCTAAACAAGTAATTACAAAGTATTAGTTAGGGATCTACAACACCCAAGAGAAAAGAGTGAGTTTCTAGAGAGAGGGGGGAATACAAATTTGAGCTCAAGATCTTCTTTTTCTAGGCTTGAATCTTCCACCCAAGCCTCCAATGATTGTCCAAGATCACTCTAGCACTCTCTCTCTCACTAGAACTCCCCTTTGGGGTTTTAGGTGGAAACCCTAGAGAAAGAAAGTGCCTCTTCTCCAAAAACCAACTCTCCTTTTCTCTCTCCCCGCTGTTGTTTTCATATTTTCCCGAGAGTGATAAGTTCACGAACGCGTTGGCCAGTTCGCGGCCGTGAATATCTAAATGCGTCTGTGAACTCAGCGTCGTCCAAAACACACCACTTTCGTGTCCTGGGTTCACGGTCAATGGCCACAGTTCACGGTCTTAGTGACCATGAACTGCCTTGTCGTCAGTAACTCCAGGAACCTCGCTGGACTGCTCGATGTTCACGGTTTGTGGTCAATGTTCACGGTCTTAGGAGACCGTGAACTGCCTTGTGCGGCCGTGAACTGCGGTTGTTGCGTCCACATAGTGACTTCGGACTTTTCTTCGGTTTTTGCGCTTTTTGACCTTCAAATATCCCAAAACTCGTCCTCGACCCTTCCACACGTGCTAGGACCTGAAATGTATCAAAACAAGTACAACCTAGCATGAAATATGTCGAGGAAGGATGAAATACTAAGCTAAACGAATAAGCAATGAGGGGTAAAATGTGTACATTTGGGCCCGAGTCAAACCGAGTTCAAGTCGATTTGAACGAGTCATATTAGCTACTGTTATGGAACAATCCAAGTACCACAACGGTAATACAAGGGAAGGAACCCTTATATATAAGTGTCCACTAAACTCATTAGTACGAAGCCTTTTGGGGAGGAGACCCAAAAGTAAATTCGTGTGGGCTTGGCCCAAAGCGGACAATATCGTACTAATTGAGCTGCCTGGTTTTGACAAGTGGTATCAGAGCCTGGTTCGGTGCGGGTTAGTGGACGTCTTGTCATAACCGGAGAGCTCAAATAGTACCATATTTATTGTCCGCTATGGGCCAAGCCCGCACACATTTACTTTTGGGTCTCCTTCCCAAAAGGCCTCGTACTCATGAGTTTGGTGGACACTTATATACAAGAGTTCCTTCCCTTGTATTACCGATGTGGTACTTGGATTGTTCCATAACCATTATCCCCCTGGCCTCAAGACAAGGACCACGAACTTCCTGTCCTCTCTTCAGCGATTTCTTGATCCACTAGACGCCTTGTATCAATGGGCTTCTCGATACAAGGACTTTACCAGACACAGAACTATCTTTGATCTGCTTTCCAAATGCGGAACTCACTTTGATCCGCCAAGTAGGGGTGGGAAACGGTGCGGTTGCGGTTAACTGCACCGAATAAGCGCGGTTAACCGCCACCGCACAAGGGGAAAACCACCCACCGTTACCGCAATGCAAACGGTTTGCGGTTAACCACTAACCGAAATCACGGTTAGCGGTTAATTGCGGTTAACTGCACTTTAAACCGCACACCGCGATTAAGAGTTAAACGGTGTAAAAAACCGCGAAATGAAATAAAACCGCAACAAAAACCGAATTAACTTGTAAAATCCAGCAACATGCACTTGATAAATTAACACTAAAACAAGAAAATGCACCTGAAAAAGTCAGAAACAGAATTAAGTTCTAAACATCCAAAAGAAACCATCCACATTAAGTTCTAATACGGAAAATGCACTTGGAAAATTCATTTTGGGTTGTTGGATGGGTTGGGCTTGGGTTGGGTATACTCTTACGCGGTTAGTTATTCGGTGAAGTTACTTATTCGGTGCGGTGTGCGGTTAGTCCACAAACCGCAAAAGAGCCAATTTCACTAACTGTTACCGAATAAAGACCCTTTTAAACGGTTTGCGGTTAACCACAAACCGCTCTTATTCGGTGCGGTTGCGGTTTAACCGCAAAACCGCAACCGTTTTCCCACCCCTACCGCCAAGCTCAAACGTGGATCTCTCCTTGATCCACCAAACCAGATACATATCTCTATTTGATCTACCAAATCAGATGTAGCCCAGACGTGGAACTCTCTTTGATCCGCCAAACAGACATCGATCTCTCCTGGATCCACCAAACCAGATGTCGATCTCAAATCCAGAGGTCACCAAATGAGGGTCCCACAAAACTGACGCCCACCGCCCCAAACCAAGTAAGGCTCTAATACCACTTGTCATAATCAGATAGCTCAATTAGTACAATATTGTCCGCTATGAGTCAAGCCCGCACGGATTTACTTTTGGGTATCCTCCCCAAAAGGCCACTATTACCAAAAAAAGAGAAATAAATAAACATTAAAGTAGAGAAGCCTGACTTTTTATTCAAAACTCGTCAATAGCGTGTTGAACTCTTTTTGACTGGGTTAAACCGAATTACTAACAAATTCACACTCAACCCAACCTGCCAACTACAAAAGTGGATACTCGCTCCCGATACAAAACTCATCTATACCATGGATTTGGGTTCAATTGTCATTCTTAACCAAAATAAAAAAGAGAAAGTTAAATAATAATAAAGTCGGATTCAAGTCTCTTATACAAGATCAAATTAGGTTCAGTACCTTGGCTTTGGGTTCAATTGTCATGCTGAACCAAAATGAAAAAATAAAAAAGCATTAAAGCGGATTAATATTGGTCCCGATACAAAATTCAACATAACATAGCATATCTGGTATGGATCTTCGGTAGTGGCATTGGAAAACGGTGAAGGGGGACAACTTAGGTATCATTTGCTTGTGGGATTTGGGTGATGGATTTGGTACCCAAATCCCAAGCATAATGGAATTGGCACAAGTCCATTATTTGCTAAGGGACACAAATCCGTGGACCTCACGGATTTGCAAATCCCACATTTCATTTGGGATTTGATAATGGAAGGCAAAATGTGAACAAATCCATCATGAATCTATGACAAAAATAAACTACACAAACAATGTACTCTTCCAAATCCATAATGCAGCAAATCCATTATAAATCCAAAGGTTTTGAAAACTCAAAACCCTCATTTTCAAATCCAACAAGCAAATGAGCCTTAAGGATTCCATCGACAGTATTTCTAGAAGGATTGTGAATTGGTGGGCGATGGCTAGGATTGAGTAGAGCAGATCTGGTATGAATCTTTGGTACTAGTCGTGGCAAATGATAGAAGGGACAACTTACGATTTCACCGAAAGTGCTTCGAGTTAGACTTCCAATTGGTGGAAAAGGTGATGATTTGGGCAAAAGGCCTTAGAAGAAAACCTCTTTGATAATAATTGCACCAATGAACAATAGCTGAAAACCTAATGAACAATAACTGCGATGGAAAATCCAATGAACAATGGATGTAGACTCCTTGCAATTCTAAGGCCATTAGTTTGAGACATGATCAGAAGTTTGAGAAGAAGAGAATTTTTTATTTTATGGAGAGAAGATGAATTTTCTTTGTGATTAGAAGGCGAATGAAAAAATTTGAAGTAATGAAGTAGAAGTGTACAAGTGTCGTGTATTTATTAAAAAAATTGAAAAAGTGTTTTTGAAAGCTAAAAGAGCCATTAGACCATCTCCATCCCCTTTCATATGCAATTGCTAAAACTTAGTTGGCATGTGTTTGGCAATTGCTAATTCAATTGCAAGGATGTGGAGCCAATTGCTAAATAAGCAATTCCACTTGCAATGCCACAGAGAATTTTATTTAACTTTTCTATTTTATCTTTATAGTTTATAAAGTTAATTTATTATAATGGAAGAATTGTTTATACATACATATGTGTGTAGCCCCCACAATAGAAATGGCTAAAACCTTACAAGGACGTGGATGACTTGAAAAAGTTATTGCTTAAGTAGTTGATATGGCAGTGGAACCCATATATGAAATTGCTAAGTAATTACAAGGATGGAGATGGTCTTCGAAATAATAGTGGGTTGCTGTAAAAGCGTTAGTGGGCTGCTGTAAAAGCGTTTGGGAAGAGTAGAGGATTGAAACATAATTCTTGTTTTTAATTAGGGTTATAGGTATAATATGCCCCTCTGCTATGTAGTTTTATCAAACACGCCCCTTTACTATTTTTTACATCAAACATGTCCTTGTACTTTGGAAAAATGATTAAACATGCCATTCTGTTAAAATTTCCATTAAAAAAATCGTCAATCATGGTTGAACCGAGATGTAGACGACCCGACATTGGTAAATGAGAGGAAAAATGTCAGTTTTGTCCCCCATTTTATTTTTTCAGGTCTCGTTAAAGTGAAATTATTAGAGGTATTTGGCTCTACAAAAGAACCAAAAAATTCTAAAGTGAAATTACCAGGGATATTTTAGACATTTGTGTCGCCCAAACCAAGGTACGACCGTGGTTGACTGTTTTTGGATGAAAGTATTAACAGAAGGCCATGTTTGATCATTTTTTTAAAGTACATGAGCATGTTTGATGTAAAAAATAGTACAGGAACATGTTTGATAAAACGACATAGTAGAGGGCATATTATACCTATAACCCTTTTAATTATTAACGAGATAATAACGAGAGACCGCCGCCCCCGTCCATACCTTCACTCAACAGATGGTGGTCTGGTCTCGGAAGTTGGGCTTTCTTTGGCCTTTTATGAGTCAAATTTAGCACCAGGGATCCTCATCTTTTTCTGATCGTTGGCGTTATAGCAACCCGATTGAGAAAAATAATTTTACAGGGTCTTATTTGTTATCGTTCAATAGTATAGTGACTCTACCAGTAATTAATCCTTTCAAATCAGAGAGAAAGAAGGAAAAGCAACTTTGCCACGTTGCAAAACTTTCCCCCTTCTTCCTGTACTTTCCCCCCTTCTCTCCTTCCATTCATACCACAAGATGCGGACCGGGAATCCAGAATCAATGCTGGCTGCTGGGGTTTCCGCTCTCCGCTCCGCCATTAAACCCAAAACCGCGCTAAATTAACTTAGCTCGCCGCCTCTTCTCTCAACAACGCCGCCAAACCCCACAAAAAAAAGAAGGATGGAAGAAGGGCTCAAACCCGACGAGGCCCCTCTGCTCGGCGACCGCCACGAGCAACCGCCGCCGGGAACCGCTTCCACTCTACAAACTATTGGGAACATAATCGTTTCCATCGTCGGCACCGGAATCCTAGGCCTCCCTTTCGCTCTCCGGGTCGCCGGCTGGCTTGCTGGATCGTTCGCGATCATCGTTGCTGGGATTTCTACTTACTACTGCATGATTCTCCTCGTCAGTTCCCCTCCCTTTCTCCTCTTTTTTTTTTCCAATTTTCGTGCAGTCGTTTTCTGCAATGGTTGCCCTGTTTGTGGAATTAATAAAGACCCATTCTCGACAGCAAAACCCTTGATTGTGTTGTTTTTACTTCTTTTTTTAAATTCTTAATTCGTTGCTTTCTCGCTTTAACAAAGATGTCCTCTTTTCAATCCTTTTCCGCCATTAAGTTAATGAAATTGACTGGGTTTCTGCTCTTTTGCTGGCTAAATTACCAGGTCCAATGCAGGGATAAAATGGCAACAGAGGAACCCACCACGGAAACAAGAACATATGGCGATCTGGGTCAGAAAGCATTGGGCAAAACAGGGCGATACTTAACAGAATCCTTGATCTTGGTTTCGCAATGCGGGGGAGCTGTTGCCTATTTGCTCTTCATCGGCCAGAATCTTTCCTCGGTGTTCAAGTTCAATGGCTTCACAACCTCCACGTTCATATTCATGTTGGTCCCAATCGAGATCGCACTCTCCTGGATCGGCTCACTATCCGCTCTAGCTCCCTTCAGCATTTTCGCCGATGTGTGCAACCTCTTGGCAATGGCGATAGTGGTGAAAGAGGATGTCCAAAAAGTTTTTGGTGGGGATTTTAAGTTCAGTGACAGGCAAGCAATCTCGCCTGGTCCTGGTGGCTTGCCGTTTGCTTTAGGAATGGCGGTGTTCTGCTTTGAAGGGTTTGGTATGACATTGGCACTCGAGCAGTCGATGAAGGAGAGGGGGAAATTCCGCGGAGTTCTGGCCAATGCTGTTGCTGGGATAGCTTCACTGTATATCGTGTTTGGATTCTTCGGTTACATGGCTTATGGTGATGCAACTAGAGATATCATCACTCTAAACTTGACCCAGAATTGGTCCAACATTGCTGTTCAGGTATTGCTCGATGACACAACTACACAAAAAATTTCTGTATCTTTTGCCCCTTTTTTGCAGCTTTTAAGCTTTTTCTCCATGTTATGTGCCTCAACTTGCTCCACGCCATATATCTTCTTTGTCTGCTTCCTAAATGTGTCTTCGGATTCTTCATATAGTTTGCTTACTCCAGAAATAACTACTTAATAAATCTAGTGTCTTTATGTACCATCATCTCGCCTCCAATATGCTTTAACCTACCTGTCCACTCCACTGTGTGGCTGTCAGAGGACTGGTTTGGTCCACAGGGTATGTTATTGGGTTGATCTTGTTGTTTTGCGCTTGTTTTTTAATCACAGTGAAAGAGATGTCGATACAGGATTAGTTGACACAGATCTCTCTGCAAGCATAAGCATGTGTTGGTATCTCCAAAACCCTTAGTTCAATGGCTAGAAAAGTCGCTAGAAATAAGACAGAAAGGACCCTGAGTGCATTTTCAAATACTTGCATCCTATGGATTGATACGCATTTGAGATTACATATGTGCAATTTCTGAAACCGTTGTTTGACGCCAGATTGGAATGTGCATGGGACTGGTGTTCACCTTCCCGATCATGGTCCACCCCATCAATGAGATCGTGGAGGGGAAGCTGAGAAACGCGAGATGGTTCCAGAAGATGGACAACGACGACGATGATGATCATCGCGGTGGCTACTTGGCAAGATGGATAGGCAGGTCAGGAATGTACTTGTTCAGGGCAGTTCTGATCGCGGCATTGGCATTCCTGGCGTCGTTCGTGCCAGGGTTCGGTGCGTTCTCGTCGATCGTGGGGAGCAGCGTGTGCGCGTGCATCTCGTTCGTGCTGCCGGCGCTGTTTCACTTGAGACTGCTGGGTCCGTCCCTGCCCCGTTGGAGGAAAGTTCTGGATTGCTTCATCATGGTATGTGGGTTCGCGTTCGCTGTTTATGGCACTATCAGCACCATTATGGGTGTCTGAGAAGTGAAATTCTTTCTTTTAGGTGGATTAGATGTTTAGGTTCTGTGGGGAGAGGGTGTAGTTTCAATACCCTAGCAAGCACTGCCAAGCCTAAAGAATAACAAATACGTTTATCTTCAATCAGCAGTTGAAGAAGGGTGTGGAGAAGCAGGCAGTGATGGAATGTTTTCGGGGATATATGACCCAAATTGTGCTGAGAACAGGGAGAAAAGAAAAAAAAAACAAACAGATCTTTGACCTGCCTGACTGTGAATTGGGTTTCTGTTGCTTGGGCTTTTGTTTAGTAGTCCAAATGGCAGTCTTCAATCTTTTTCAAAACTGTCAAATGTGGCTTTTTCAAGATGTTCGGTGATCCAATTGTCACATTTTCGCACTTGGGGACTTTTTTTTTTTGTTTTGTTATCTCAGATGTTTCACCACGAGACAATTGGACTCAAATGTCTCATTCAACTAGTTCGTGAAAGTTCACACAGCTCATTAGAGGTGAAACGTGTTCGTGCAGAATGGAGTTTAACTCATCATGATGAGTTGTTTATCATGTGAGATTGTCTTACGTCGAGGGGGTAATGAAATTGAAAATGACAACAAGTTGATTCTAAAATTTGCTTACAAGAACCAACCCTTGGTAGACTTGACGCAGTCGGAAACCTTGAAAACTCGCTAGCGTCGAGTTATGAAGAGAACAAGTTTGCAAGCCACAAACTTGCGTGAAAACACCAGATGTCTTCTGGAAGCAAAACCCTCAGGTTTGATTGAATTAAAGCAGCAAAAGATATCCCTCCAAGTTACAAAGCAAGGTCCTTTAAATAGACAAAAGGAAAAGAGAATTTACCCTAACCGATAACAAAAAGGAATAGAAAAGGGCTAATACCGCTACAACACCCGAACTATCGCGAAAATGCCACTTGTGTCCTATTGTTTCCAATATTCCATTTGTGTCCTGAACTATGATTCCGTTAGTGTTGACTTTTGTTGACCGTTAGTTTTTAACAGAAAATCTAGTCAGCACTGATGTGGCATCTTACGTGGAATTTTAATTCATTTAATAAAAAAATAAAAAATAAAAAACAATAAAATTAAACAATATTTTTTTCTTGCCAAATATAAAATTAAACAATCTTACTAAAACAGAATTATAAAACACTAACAATAAAAATAAAAAACTTCATCTCCCCTTCGTTTCATTTCCCCCAAATTCAGCCGCCATCGGCTCCTCGCCTCTATACGCGGCAATGAGCTCTTCTCACTGATCCCCTCGTTTCACTGTGTCAACAATGCCGCACCGAGATCTCCTTCTCGATCTCTTCGTTTCACTCTCTCAACACCGCGCCGCTTCCACCATCAGATTCTTCATAATCTACGGCGGGATTAGGTTTTAACGAGTATCCAGATTCTTCATCATCCTCAACCTCGGCACCGCTGCCGTCCTTTGCCGCTGAGGGATTCCAATTGCTTGGTCAATTCAAGCGATTCGGGAAGGAATTTTTCTGGTTGAATGCATGAATCGACGATGAAGGGGAAGAGTCCAGAAGATCAACTCCCCTGCTTCCTCCGCCGTGGCCGTGGTCGAAGACCAGCTCCCCTGCTTCTGGAAGACTAGCTCCACCTTCTTCCTTTCTCTTTATTCATCGAGTCGGTCGGGAGGGAGAGAGTACAGATCCAGTCGGATTAGCAGCCGCCTACGCCCATCCTTCTCCATATTCATCATCAAAATCTTCAAATGGTGCTTGTGAATTCGCTGTTCCGATTCATGTGGGTCTTGTTGTTGATGCTTTGATTCACTACTCTGATTGGGTTGCTACTTTTGATTGGAACCATAAATTAGGAGGCGAGATAGTGAGAGGAGTTGGAATAGATGAGAGAGTGAAAAGGGGTTGCTAGATCTAATTTTCCGCGTTAGTCTCTCTGCCCAGCCACCGTCGATCATGGCCGCCACCACCTCCTAACCCTTCGTTCTGCTTCCCGAACCCAGAAACATGGTGGATTTGCACCAAGAAGAAGAATACGAAGAGTTTTTTTGTTTTAAAATTTTGGCTCAATAATATTATTAAATTTACATTTTTTTTAATTTTAATTAAAATATATGAGGGGTCAATGACGTGGCATCTATGTGGCAGCCACATTTTTGCCAAGTCAACAAAAGTCAACTTTGCTTTGACCACCGTTTGGTCAACCGTTATCTTTAACGGTCAACAAAATCGGCAGGACACAAATGGCACAAAGTATAATAGTTCAGGACAGAGATGGAATATTGGAAACAATAGGACACAAGTGGCATTTTCGGGATAGTTCGGGTGTTGTAGTGGTATTAGCCCAATAGAAAATAATAATTGTTTAATTAAACTATAACACCCAAATCCTCCATGCATACGGACATAGCCATCCCAATTCCTCCATGCACACGGACATAGCCATCTTCACGTCACCAGCTCCTTCATGCACACGGACATAGCCATCTCACCAGCTAGCTCTTCCTCCGCCTGTACAGCATCTTGAATCTGCTCCGTAAGCTGCGCTGCATCAGGCTCCTCCACCTCTAAAGAACTCGACCACGAGTTCGGATAAAGCGGACCATCCTCATGATAATCGTAAAGATCGGCAACGTTGAAAGTAGGAGAGATATTCATGTGAGCCGGCAAATCGATAACGTATGCGTTGTCATTGATCCTCCGCAACACCTTAAAAGGCCGTATTTGCGTGGCTGTAACTTGGAATAGGAGCCGACAGGAACTCGCTCCTTACGTAAGAAAACCATAACATCATCCCCCACCGCAAACACTTTACGACGCCTATGAGCATCAGCGGCGACCTTATTCTTCAGTCCCGTAGCCTCGAGCCGCTCTTTGACAGCCGCCTTTGTAGCCTGGATATCCCTTGCCATGGAGTCAGCGGTATGACTCACGCCTGGAGCGGGTGGCAGTGTCACCAAATCAACGACATGACGTGGGGATGAAGTATACACAAGGGAAAAAGGTGTCTTGCCCGTAGCTGAGTGCACAGCGCTATTATAAGCAAACTCCACCTGGGGCAACGCGAGATCCCATTGTTTCGGTTTATCTCCACAAATGCTACGAATCATATTTCCCAGTGTCCGGTTAGTAACCTCGGTTTGCCCATCAGTCTGCGGATGTGCCGTGGAGCTCCGTTTTAACGTAGTACCAAACATCCTCCACAAAGTTATCCAGAAATGACTGAGGAATTTAGTGTCACGGTCGGAGGTGATAGTTTTGGGAACCCCATGCAGACGAACTACTTCCTTGAAAAAAAGCTTGGCAATATTGGAGGCATCCGCAGTCTTTTTACAAGCGATGAAATGGGACATCTTCGAGAAACGATCGACCACCACGAACACAGAATCCACTCCTCTTTGAGTTCTGGGAAGTCCCAACACAAAATCCATCGAAAGGTCAAGCCAAATATCGTCGGGAACAGGAAGCGGCTGGTAAAGTCCGGTGTTTTGGGATTGTCCTTTCGAAACTTGACAGATAAAACAGCGCTTGACTATGGAACTGGCATCGCGACGCATGTGGGGCCAATAGAATCGTGCCTCCAAACCAGCGATGGTCTTGTCACGACCCAGATGACCACTGAGACCTCCGCCGTGCAAGTCGCGAATCAGCTTCTCTCGTAAGGATGAACTTGGGATGCACAACCTATCGCCTTTGAACAAATAACCATCTCGCGCATGAAAATCTGCCGTAGGGTGTTGTTGGGTACACTTATACCATAGATCCTGAAACTCGGGATCCGTAGCATAGAGGTCCTTTAATAGCTCGAACCCTAAAATTTCTTGTGACAATGTGACTAACAAGGAAGCCCTCCGGCTCAGCGCGTCCGCCACTTTGTTATGCGCCCCCGACTTGTGCTGAATAATGAAAGGGAATTTCTGGAGGTAACTCACCCACCGGGCGTGCATCTTGTTAATAACCTTCTGACTATGGAGGAATTTTAACGCCAAATGATCTGTAAAAAGAATGAACTCTCGTTGGATCAAATAATGTTCCCACTGTCGAAGAGCTCGAAAAACGGCGTAAAACTCTTGATCATAGGTGCTCCACTTCTGTCTTGCCTCACTAAGTTTTTCGCTAAAATAGGCAACGGGCCGCTTTTCTTGTGATAGGACGGCGCCTACCCCAACCCCGCTCGCATCGCACTCCACCTGGAATATTTTATCGAAATCAGGTAGGGCTAGAACAGGGGCAGTACACAGCTTCTCTTTTATCAATTTGAAACTCTGTTCTTGCGCTGAACCCCATTGAAATTTTCCTTTCTTCAGACACTCCGTAATGGGAGCAGTGATAGAACTGAAATCTCGTACGAATCGGCGGTAGAAGGTTGCCAATCCATGGAAGCTGCGAACGTCCGAAACAGACGCAGGTGTAGGCCAGTCGCGGATGGCGCGGACCTTCTCCTCATCAACTTGTATCCCGTCGGCACCAACAATAAAGCCCAAAAATAGAAGTTGGCTAGTACAGAAGGTGCACTTCTTCAAGTTGACGTAGAGCTTGTTCTCTTGTAATGCTTGCAACACACGCTTGAGATGCCCCAAATGTGCTTCCTTGGTCTTGCTATAAATTAATATATCATCAAAATAAACCACCACAAAGGAACCAAGGAAAGGACGAAGAACCTGATTCATCAATCGCATGAAAGTGCTAGGGGCGTTGGATAATCCGAACGGCATGACCAGCCATTCGTACAAACCATCCTTGCTCTTGAACGCAGTTTTCCACTCGTCGCCAGGTCGGATTCGGATTTGATGGTACCCGCTCCTTAGATCAATCTTGGTGAACACCATCGAGCCGGATAACTCATCAAGCATATCCTCGAGACGAGGAATGGGGAATCGGTATTTGATCGTGATCTTGTTGATGGCTCTGCTGTCAACACACATGCGCCACTGATTGCCTTTCTTTGGTACCAACAGAATAGGAACCGCGCACGGGCTCATACTTTCCCGTATGAATCCTTTCTTCATAAGTTCTTCAATATGCTCCCTCAATATGTCGTTCTCCTTAGGGCTCATGCGATAATGAGGTAAATTCGGCAAGCTTGCCCCTGGGATTAAGTCAATTTGGTGCTGGATGTCACGCATAGGGGGTAACTCATCGGGTAGCTCTTCTGACGTCAACTCGCGGAATTCCTCCAAGATTTCTTGCACTTCAATCGGAACCGTAGGTTCTGGGGTTGCCGTACTGACAAGGCCCTTAACCACCACAGGAAAAATCCATTCGGCTTCTTTAGCTTCCTCCACGAGCTCCTGTGTGTCTTGCGACATCACGATAAAACTAGAATTTGCCTTACCAGGAGGTTTGCTGAACCCACTCACGGGTGCCATAGCTATCTTGTGGGTTCCCCAAGTAAACATCATGATGTTGTCCTTTCCCCGATACGTGATGTCATTGTCGTACTGCCAGGGGCGGCCGAGAAGGATGTGACAAACGTCCATGTTAAGAACATCACATGTTACCTCTTCCTTATAGTGCTTTCCGATGGAGATAGGCACTTTGCAAGTACGTGTTACTTTGACTTGGGGACCTTTGCTCACCCATCCCAGAGTGTAGGGAGCCGTGTGAGGTTCGGTCGGCAACTCCAAATAGGCCACTAACCTTTGGGACACCAAATTTTCGGTGCTTCCATTATCTACAATAAGGTTGCAGACTTTATTATTAATCGAACAGTGGGTTCGGAAAAGATTCTTTCGTTGGCCTTCGTCGACTGTGGAAAGTAGGATCCTCCTGAGCACAATGTTAACCACATCGGTGGAAGCTTCCTCCGCGAACTCAATTCCCTCGTATTCATTCTTTGTTTCCTCTTCCTCCCATTCTTCGGTGTCCCCGTTCACATTGTCTAGGACTGCAGTCATCTTACGAGAAGGACACACGTTGGAACGATGACCTTGGCCTCCACAGCGGAAACACTTGTCTCCAGTGGGTCTTGCATAGGGGTTAGGAGCCTTGGGCGGCGGTGCTTTGCTCGAACCAGAAGCTCCTCCATTAGGTTTTGCGGCGGGAAAGGATTCTTTCGTGCCCACAACCCTTTCTTTATCCGTGATAAGTTCAGGATTTCCTGGTGGAGGGAACCTGCGGAAAGGCGGGAGGTTTCGAGGGGTCTTCTCCATCAATTCGGCTTTAAGCGATAAAGTGGAAGCTTCCGCTACAGTCCACACTGTTTGTAAACCCATCTTCTCCTGTATCGATCCCTTTAACCCATTAATGTAGCGAGTTACCTTCTGTCCTTCCGTTTCTCCCAACTCATTTCGCTCTGCGAAACGCAAGAACTCTGTGGTGTACTCTGTAACAGTCCGCCGACCTTGGACGCAGTCGATGTACATCTTGTATAAAATCTGTTCGTAATCTTCTGGCAGGAATCGCTCCATCATCAGCTGCTTCATTCGCCTCCATGTTCGGATCGGAGCCTTTTGTTGGCGTCGTCGTTGGACAACTAGCTTGTCCCACCACACAGCAGCAGTGCTCTTTAAACGAATAGCAACCATCTTAACTTGTTTATTGTCGGGCACGCCCATTACGTCGAAGAATCTATCAACGTCAATCTGCCAATCGAGAAAATCCTCTACTCCCATGGTTCCGTAGAACAGCGGTATGTCGGCTTTGACACGGTAATCATGACGATTATGTTGGTCATCATCACCATCCTGGTCCCCTTCTAGATCCTCCTCTTCCGAGCCAGAGTCGGAATCGGCTTGAACACCACGTATTCTCCGGGGATGCTCTTCCCTATTGACTCTCCTGCCTCTCTCCCTCCTGTTATGATTGTTGTTCCCCTGTGCAGCCAAATTGTTGTTCACCTGTGCCGCCAAATTTGTCACTTGCGTGGTCAAGGTCGTGATCGCCGTGGTAAAAGCCGCGGTGATAGCCTCGATGTCGGCGCGTGTGACCGGTTGATCTCCCATGGATGTGCAAGCTTAGAAAAGAGACAGGAGAAAGCCTGCTCTGATACCACTTGACGCAGTCGGAAACCTTGAAAACTCGCTAGCGTCGAGTTATGAAGAGAACAAGTTTGCAAGCCACAAACTTGCGTGAAAACACCAGATGTCTTCTGGAAGCAAAACCCTCAGGTTTGATTGAATTAAAGCAGCAAAAGATATCCCTCCAAGTTACAAAGCAAGGTCCTTTAAATAGACAAAAGGAAAAGAGAATTTACCCTAACCGATAACAAAAAGGAATAGAAAATAATAATTGTTTAATTAAACTATAACACCCAAATCCTCCATGCATACGGACATAGCCATCCCAATTCCTCCATGCACACGGACATAGCCATCTTCACGTCACCAGCTCCTTCATGCACACGGACATAGCCATCTCATCAGCTAGCTCTTCCTCCGCCTGTACAGCATCTTGAATCTGCTCCGTAAGCTGCGCTGCATCAAGACTGATCTAATATGATGGTAAACAATTCAGTGGTTCCTCCCTTTGGGGGTAAAAAAAATTCGAACCCAAGTCACAGAAAAGCTAGATTTCGGCCTAGAATGCGGTTGCACTTCTTCTCAAGTTGCACATCTTATATCAGCATTTGAGCGGATTAGATTGGATTGGGTACCGATTGATTCAAGTTCGATTGTCATCACTACTTTGTGGCACTTTGTATTAGAGATTGGGGGGCATAAGAATAAAATGAATACGTAACTAAGCAAGCACTGAAAATGCTGAAACTAACCAATCGGGCCAAGGAACGTTAGTTACTTTACTATATTAATAATGGTGGCAGATACGTTCTGTGAGTTGGAGAATCCTTTTTCCTTGTGGATCGAGTAGGAGCTAGGGGTGGATTCGGTTCGGTTATAACCGATTGTTCGGGTACCGGTTAACCGAATCACCATCTCTCCCTAATACCGACCGACGCCAATGCCTCGGTTAACCAATAACCGACTGATCGGTTATCGGTTAGTTGGTCGGTTAACCGAGATAACCGAAAAAATGATGGTGGTTCGGTTTTAACCGGGTAAAATTATTAGAATCGCCTAAAATGAAAGGTTCTAACTTACATTTCTACATCTAAATCACACCCAAAGTAAAGCCTCAGTCACTTTTGCATAGAAAACACATCTAAATCACCAAATTAATGTCTCAAATTCAACAACATAAAGTTATAAACTTCATAACCAGATATTTTCAAGTCGTTTGGGTGAGGGAGGTGGTCGATCGGTTATTGTCGGTTAACCGGATAACCTATTAGGAGCTCCGACCTCCGACCGAAGCATATAATTTTCGGCTATCGATTAACCGGCAACCACCGGTTATCGGTTTAACCGGCCGGTTAACCGGCAACCGATAACCGAAGCTCCATCCCTAGTAGGAGCAAAAGGGAATGGATCATTGGATTGGATGACTCGAAAGCAAATGCTCTGCACTTCCTTCCCACTGCCGAATAATCATAATCATACTTCACAATCCCTTTAAGGCAGGAACCGAGAGAGGGCGAAAGAAAGAAATGGGCCAAAAGCCCAAAACTTGATGACGGCAGCAGAAAGGAGGAAGAAGAAGAAAGGCATATAGAGATATAGGTAAAGGGTCACAAAAAGGAAACTTTTGTGATTGGGAACAAGACACCAGCACAGGATTCATACTCCATTAACCCACCACCATTTTCTTTAATTTTTCATTTTTTTTTTCATTTTTGTGACATGAAAAATATATATTGTAAACAAAATAAAGACATGAAAGGGATGGATGGATCCATCTCCTCCAACTTGGTCTATTTCTGGCCACAAGTGAAGGCTCTAGACTAGAGGTTAGTAGAACTGTGCAGTAGTTCTCAGTATCCATTCAAAGATTTGGCCTGGAAGATAGATATTGTCCTTAAAAGGGGAAAAAAAATAAATATGTAAGAAAGATATGGGGATTGATTACATTATTATTAAATAACTGATAGATTCCATGTGCCTAATTATGCTAATATGACACAGCAGCAACCAACCTCTCTTCCTGCCCTGGCCCTGCTCACTGATGCAGAGTGCAGACACATGGTTGGATAATTTGAGCAGTAAATGAAAACAACGAGTAACTTACTCTTGTTTAGATGATTTTGAACCATGTCGGAATGGATAAACGAGAATAAAGTTACTGTTTCGATTTATGATGCAAGGAAAGGAGGAGGGGGACTGAGGGAGTGATTATTTAGGGCTCGTTTGTTTGTTGGATTTTGAGTTTTGAAAACATTTTGATTTATAATAGAATTATGGATTTGGAAGAGTTCATTGATTGTTAGTTGATTTTTTTATACGAAGAGTCGTTCTAAAATTAATTGAACATCGTGAAAGATAAGGATGGTTGAATTGCAGAAGAGTCATTCTAAAAATCAAGTCTGCATAGCAGAGAAATCTGCACCCCCTTAGCTATAATGTCATTTCTAGTTCCGGCTAACCAAGACAATGAAAGCGCGCGCGCAGTAAGCGGGCATATTATTTATTCCTAGAAGCCGATCTCCCTCCACATGCGATTCGAACCGGACCAACCAGCAACCAAAACTGTATGCATTATATGAACATACAGCAAACGACACCACTACAGTTTTAAGGATAAAATCGTAGTTACAAATATTCAAATGGCACCATATCAGATATTACAAATACCAGTAATTTACACGCATTTACGTGGCAGTATAATGAGGTGTTCTGGTGTCCGTTCATGTAAAGTGAGAGTATTTATCTTTTAATGTAAGAAGAGTGGGGTTGTGGGCACGTGAAAACGACATCATCCGACCAGTTCTTCGTACCATCTGCTGGAATTCTTTTTGGCTTGCCTACGCCTTCTTCCTGTTCGTTTCACTTATCTACTGTTTGGTAGTATTTTGTGCTACTCACCTCTTTGACTCTTTCTGTTTTTTCAAGTCCTAACTAATTACTCGTACGAGCGTTTCATTAGCAGACACCATCACATGAATTCACCAGACAAGACTCATATATCGATAATCGCAGTTCGACGTGTTCTGTTTGTCTTATCCTTTCGCCCATATGGTCCGGTGGGGGTATAAACGGAAGCAGTCGTTGACCATTTATCTGTTGGATGCCATCCGCTGCGGGTTAACTTCCACCGAGGTTGAATAGAACATAACTGAACGATCGGTAACTAACGATGAAACATAAATTTAGATTGAACGACCAGTAACACGAAATAAATTTAGTGACAAACTATGAAATAATTGGATAATCGAATGGCCAAACCGAGTTATTTATAACTAGATAATTATATTGTTCCATTTCTGAAATGTTAATGACGTTTTTGTTGTCGCCATATAACGACAACATTACCCCCCTGATTTCTCCTCTCATTTAATCATTTCTTAATTGTTTTTTATTCTTCAGTGGGAGATTATTGGGAAGCTCATCAGACATCCATGTCTGATTTACCCAGCTAAGCTCCCTTTTTTTCTGGCTACTCAAAATTTCCCACTCCCAAAAACCTTCCCGGTCGTCTAAATTTCTTTGTTTGCTCCGCCGTCGGCTACAAATCGTTAAGAAACATGCCTCCGCCTACCACCAAGCCCCACAGCTCCACCACTTCATTCTTCTCCGCCATCAAGCCGCCGCCGTCCACTCCGCCGCCGCCTCTCTACACTCTCCTCTTCCTCCTCCTCCTAGTCATCCTCGGCTTCTACTTCCTCCACCACCACCACAGCCCAACAACAACCGCCGCCGCCGCCGCCGACTTCCTCACACCACCCCAACAAACATCCCTCCGCTTCCGCGAACAATTCCTCTCCCTCTCCACCAACGCCACCGTCTCCTCCTACCTCCGCCACCTCACCCTCCGCCCCCACCTCGCCGGCACCCCCGCCTCCGCCGACACGGCGGAATTCGTCCACTCCCACTTCCGCCGCCTCAATTTGGACCCGCACAGAGCCGCGTACAGAGTCCTCCTCTCTTACCCAATCCGCTCCTCCCTCACCGCCCGATTCCCCAACGGCACCGCCGTCGCCCTCTCCCTCACGGAGGAAGGAGCGAAAAAAACAGGGGAAACAGAGGAGGGGCAAAACGGCGCCGTCGTGAGGCCGTACCACGCGTACTCCCCGTCGGGCGCGGCGCACGCGGAGGTGGTGTACGTCAACACCGGAAGCGAGGAGGACTACCGCCAGCTGGCGGCGCTCGGGGTGCGCGTGAAGGGGCGCGTGGTGCTGGCGAGGAAGGGCGGCGAGCTGAGCAGAGGCGGCGTGGTTCGGGTTGCCGAGAGGGAAGGAGCGGCGGCGGTGCTTTTATTCGTCGGCGGCGGCGGCGGTGGCGGAGGGGTGGAGAGAGGAACGGTGATGAACGGAATGGGGGACCCGCTCACCCCCGGGTGGGCAGCGGCGGAGGAAGGCGGCGGCGGAGAGAGGTTGGGTTTAGAGGAAGCGGAAGCGTCCGGGAGGTTTCCGAGGATCCCATCGCTGCCGCTATCGTTTGAGGACGCTGACGTCATATTGCGGTCGCTGGGCGGCCAAACGGCGCCGCCCGGGTGGGTTGGACCCGGGATTCTCGCTCAGCGGGTCGGTCCTGGTCCAACTGTGGTCAACTTGACGTATCAGGTTGGCTATTTGTTGATTGTTGTCCTTTCTTTTTTGTCTTTTAGCTGTCAAACCTTTTCCCGCGTGCCGAGTTTCCCGATCTCTAGATTTTGGTCAAACTCGGTCGGTCGGTCGGTCAATGTTGTTTGTTGATTCATGTTCACCATAAAACGGTGTCGTAGGGGGAGAAGAAGGAGGTGACGATTCAGAATGTCTTTGCTGTGATCAAAGGCTTGGAAGAGCCCGATCGTTACGTGATCATGGGGAACCACAGGGACGCGTGGACTTACGGAGCTGTGGATCCGAACAGTGGCACTGCGGCGTTGCTCGACATTGCTCGTAGGTACGCTCTTCTGCAGCGAAATGGATGGAGGCCTCGACGGACCATTGTCCTGTCCAGCTGGGACGGGGAAGAGTTCGGTATGGTAGGTAATGTTTCATCCCCCCCTCCATTTGAGATTTTTAGAGCCAAATGTTTGGTTTCTTGACACACAAGCATCCTTTTTTTGGGTTTTGTTGAAAATGTTTGATTGGTCTTGCAGGATCTACGGAGTGGGTCGAACAAAATCTTGTTAACTTGGGTGCCAAGGCAGTGGCCTATCTTAATGTGGATTGTGCTGTTCAAGGTCCTGGGTTCAATGCCGCTGCCACTCCTCAACTCGACGAACTTCTTTTCGAGGTTACAAAGAAGGTGAGACTGCGAATGAGGAAATTTCGAGGCACTGTTATATGGATGTTTCTGTTTTGTGTCAATCGGTTTTACAGGGTGGGGATGTGACTAATTTTTTCAGGTTAAGGATCCTGATTTCGTTGGGGCTACGATATATGACAAATGGGCAGCCATGAATCAAGCTACCAGTGTAAGGATTGTGACATGAATTAATTTCGGTTTGTAATTGTATTGCTGTCTACTACATTGTACACTTAGGGTTTATAGAGTCCTCATGGTTGGTGAATTGCAGATCGAGAGACTCAGTGGGGCATTCTCCGATTTTGCTCCGTTCCTGCAACATGGAGGGATTCCTTCCATTGATTTGTTCTACGGAAGAGGTTTGAATATCAAACTTACCGCGTGCTTCTGTGTCTTGAATCTTAGTGTGGAACTACTCCTCTCTTCTGCGAGTAGGCTAATCTGATGGGAATTCTTATTCTGCAGAATATCCAGTTTATCACACTGCATTTGACTCGTACGAGTGGATGGTGAAGCATGCCGACCCACTGTTCCATCGTCATGTTACCAGTAAGTATTCTCCTGAGAACATTTAGCGGTAATTCAATCACGGTCAGTATATTATACAATTCAGCTTGACGATGTGCAAATGTGGTTTGTTTGCTGTTCTAAGTCGCTGAAATCTGGGGACTTATTGCACTCCATTTGGCCGATGACTCCATCATTCCATTCAACTATGTCTCCTATGCACAACAGTTATTTGTAAGAACAATGTCTATTACCCTCTCGTTGCAGTTACTCCTACGGATTCCATGGACGAAATTACTAAACAAAAGTTTTCCCGGTTTCTCCTCACAGAAGTACACAGACGAGTTGAGCCACTTACTGGACGGTAGTACCATTTCTCTTCACCCTCTAGTTTCGGCCATCGAACAATTTGCGTCTGCTGCTATAGAAGCCGAAAATGAGGTCAAGGTAAGTTTGGTGTTAAGGGAAATGCCACTTCGAAAGGCTGATGAACCATTAAATACTTAATAGTTACTCTACCCCCGCATTGCAGCAACTTCGAGAAGGAGACGGCAGAGATGGGTTGACAGCATTGAAGCAAAGGGCCCTGAACGATCGGTTGATGCTCACGGAACGAGGCTTCCTCGATGCAGATGGGATTCAAAGCAGGCATTGGTTCAAACATCTTGTAAGATCATTAGTAGTTGCCAAAATTCCCCCCTTCCCCTTTCTGTCATTGTTCTCTCTGTGTTCCCCTAAATGATGTGGCCTGAAACTTGTTGGAATAGATTTACGGGCCTCATGGAGACTACAAGAGCAAACTGGATTTCTTCCCGGGAATAGCTGACGCCATCCATGAACTCTCGGTAAGCACGACAATGAGCCGGTCACGGCAGGAAGCTGCTATCCAGCACGAGGTGTGGCGGGCTGCTAGAGCGATTCAAAGGGCTGCTTATGCTCTCAGAGGCCACATCTTCGTCCCGTGAACAAAACAGGAATAGACTTTCACTTCGCTCATCTGTGAAAACTCAGAAGGAACTGTTTCTCCTAACCTTGCAGATTTTGGGCCATTTAGAGATTTGTGTATAAACCCACATATTTTTAGCTGTTTGTAAATGAAACAGAAGAGATTTACATTTTCAGAGTTCTGTGACTGAGAATGCAAATGCCATGTTTTCTTTTTTATGATACATTTGCAAAAAAAAATCAAAAGAAACAGCGCGCCAGGAAGGGGTCGAACCTTCGACTTTCTGCTTAGGAAACAGACGCTCTATCCACTGAGCTACAGGCGCTTGAATAGTATTATAATATTACACATAGTTATTTGAATAAGCAAAATGCAAAGAAAGTAAGAGTCCAACTTAAAGGAACGAAAGGGGAATAAGTGATTTGCGTTTATTTTGATAGTGAACCTAATGTTGATGGATCATTCAACTCTTATTTCTTCTCGTGAGCCGCAGCCTGGAAAGGGTGCATTCATCAAAGAGTTTACAAGAGGAAGATCCACTGTATCTTAACTACCTAGTGTCAATATACTATAATGTTTAGCTCCACAAGTTTGGTTGCTGTAGAATCACAGTAGAATGGATGTATTTCAAGGCATCTATGTATGGCTGTTGCCTGTTTGTTCCTTCCTAGGGTTTGAAGGATCGGGGTTTAGTAGCTTTCAGTTCAATGGAAATCCCCTTTTGCAGGGTTTAGTAGCTCTTCAATGCTGTTCTTGCAGGGTAGCCTACTAATATTTTTCAGAGGTTTGCCTTGCCAACTTAACATCTGGAGGTGAGTGAGTAGCACTACTTGGTTGAGTAACAACTTTGCCCTCAATGTTTCTGCTGGTTGGATTGCAAAACTTTACCGATGCTAGTTGACTTGAAAAATCTGAGAATCTCCGTTGAGCAAGTCTGAAGTTGTCTGTTGCTAACATGAAATGTCTGTGTTTTCCTGGCAGTTACGAAGGTTGCTTCATTCATTCTCTCTGCAGGTAATCATGGATTTAGCCATCCACATATGCCGGTGTGTTTGCTTGATGGATTTGACGGGGAACGACTAATGGTTCAATATCCTAACGAATCTTAAGAAAAAATCAAGACCCTTAGGGGTCGTTTGCTTGATGGATTTTGACGGGGAACGCTGCAGACTGAATATCGTTTCCTTCAACTTCAGGAATAAATTCAGATGGATAACATCAAGCTGGCGTCCCATCTATTCCTATCCCAACAAAAAACGAGGAAAATGACGGCATAAAAACGAGGGCAGAATTAAGTGTCAAGCTCTCAAATCTCAATATAACTATACCCAGTATACAACACTCCCACCTCTGCCTCTCAAAATCTTTTTTTTTTTTTTATAATTTATATACCAACTAAATTACACTGGTAGCTATGATGTCTGGAGAGGGAAAAACCAGAGCAAGTGCCTCCAAACAATCTCCCTAACCGGGAAAAAAGGAAATGCCCTAGCTCCGTAACAGCGAAATTTCGGTGGAGGCTAAGGCAGGGTGTGTCATCACCTATCAACAATTTATATCACTTCCAAGGAACAAAGACTGATATAGAGACGGAAGGAAAAGCACACATTACACCAAGGGGAGACATCCTCATTCTTCGATCACAACAGCTGCTCATCGAGGAAATGCAAACGCCGAAAAAATTCACTTCGTTCCCACTGCTGCACTTGTTTGCCTTCAGCATAGCACACTGCTGCTCGCCTCCTCGAGGAAACAGGAAAAATCCCCGCAACGTGGCTGTTTTCCATTGGTCAGAGGAACATAACATAAGACATCCCATCCATTCAGCAGCACAACAGTTTTCGCCCAAATCTTGTATCGTCTCCTGGCTAATTGTAGATTTTAACTGGCTTCTCATATGTGTGACGGTTCTGCAATGTTTAGACAGTGTGACGTTAGGCAATCTGACCTCCAAGGGAGAAGATTCAAACTAAAAATACCACTACTAAAAGACTTCACCTCTACCGCCCTAATGAAATCTAAAAACAGTTGGAGCTGCACAAACCTGATTTGCTGTATGAGGCCTCTTTGGAGTGGTATCCGGGTGCTCTAGTCCAAGGTACTGCTCCCAAGCACCATAGACATCTCTCCTCTGTGTAACAACAAGGACACAATGCTTAAATTAGAATGCAGCAAAAAGAACAGAATTTCACGAGGAAAACGAAGCAAAACTGAACCTTATGAGAGAAATACCTGAAACCGAGCGAATAAAACATCTGAATCGTGCAAATATTCTGGGCGGCCCAAAGATAGGAAAGCAAATTTCCACTACAACAGAAAGCAAGAAGAGAATGAGAAACATAGCTCTGAGCTCAACCCAAAAAGAAAAAAAAAAAAAGAGTTTGAGCTTTGGGGCATTTTTCCTGCTCTTTGATCTAATATAGCTGCATCATGGGGTACCTTGGCAAAGTCATCATCAGAAACTTGCAACTTCTTTTGTATACGCTCTTTAATGTCAGCTAAGGTCTCCCCATCATGGATGACCAAGAAAAATGGTTCCCCAAAATTCTGTATTTGCTGCGGAAACACAGGAAAAAATATTACAATCTCTTAACATCCCCACAACTCCAAAAAGTGAGGTGCCCCCGGTGGCTTAAAAATATCAGTCTGACATTCATGGAAAATTGTACCATTTGATTCTGTGCAGTATCCCTAGTGAAGTGATAGACATGAATCAACCGGTCCTGCGGACCAATATTTTTCTCATCCTCCGGGATCTGTATGAAAAAAGAGAATTAAACTCAATACAATCTCTGGTCAAGATCAGAATTCCCAACAAGCGGACCTAAAGGGAAAGAGAGGATTTACCTCTTCTGCACGCAGTGTCCAGTATTGATCATTGATGTTCTCAATTTTTTCACTGGGAGGGAAAGTCTGACAAAAAAACAGTGATTTTATTTTATCAGTATCATCACAACTACCCAGTAGTAAACCATGCATCAATTTTATCAAAAGACAAACCAAACAGCTGACATTTATACATATCAACTGTGTACGATACCTTGTATATCTTGTGATAGAAAACTTCAATCAGCCGTAGTTCTGCATTTGGGTGAGACAACTCAACCTGTTCAAAGAAAAGAGTAATGTTAAATATACTTGGCATTTAAATAGGGCTACAACAGAATTTTCTGGAAAAAAAGAAAAGATGTACTAAAGAATGTCAAAGCACAAGGTTCACTAAACAAGCTAAATATAGAAACACCCCAAATCAAATTCCAGAAAACAATCAGAGAGAAAGCACTCACCTTGGTTTTAAGTTCATTAATAACATCACCAACCGTACTCTGTTTAGGCAATCTGATATTGTGGATTACAACCTGGTAATAGCTCTCAAACAAAGTCAGTAAAAAGGGCGTGAAAATCACGAAACTAAATTAGGCCCCAAACAGGAAACTCTATATCAAAACTTTAGACATACCTCCTCTTTGGTAGCATGATGGAAAGCAACTTTCAGATTCTTTAAACCTTGCAATTCCGGAAGAGGAATGTCCAGAACTTCGTAATACAAGATATCAGAGGTCTGTTAACAACAATAGCAAACCATTGGTAACTGCTTAATACAGGACGGGAAAACCGAGATGATGGTGACGACAATGTCTCTTCAGAGAGAGAGAGAGAGCAACTTACCTGATTATAGTGGACTAACATATCCGACAAGTGATCAACTCCTCTGTACTTAATTGGTTGCGGTTTAGGCTGCTGAGAGTAGCAGTTGTGAGATGTTAATCTGATTTTCGAGGGGTCGTCCAAGCCAATTTGGCGAGCCACTCGCTCCACAACTTCATCATAAGTATGCAACTTTGACCTGAAAAGATGATCAAAAGATGAGATATCACATCATAAAGGAGTAATTAATGGGCAAAAAATATAGACACTATCATAAAGAAAAAGACAGTTGAGGTTCAGTAACTCACAATTCCAGACAGAAATCGTCCTCTTTCGGTTTTTCGAGAGATCGAAAATGAACTACCTGCAAAGCATTCAGAGCCCACAAATGAACTGAGGATTGATGTACAAGCAAAAGTAGATCATGCTACACAATTTCAAGTTGGAAAATAAATAAGGTTTAAACTGGACAAAAGGAACAAGTTCAATGGAAATGGATATCAACACCAAATTTCCCCTTGACAGAGTACAGCAAGCTACCATGGCTGATCTTCCACACACATACAAATCCCATAAGAAACAAAGTAGGGAAGGGAAAAGGAAACTATCGACAAATAAATCGTGCCAAAAAAGTCTATGGAGTTTCTCTTGTTCAAACATACTCAACATAAATAGTGCCAAAACCTCCAAATTACTAACACACCATCTGCTGCAACTAACTGCTACAATCCATAGGTTTAACTTCAAATCAAGGATACCTGCCGATTGTGCACATATTCCAGAAATGAAGTCACATCAGGATATTGAAATTCCTCTTTCTCAGCAAGTGATTTCTGGAAGCAGATTATATCTCCATCTTCAATCTAAGACAAGAACCAAAAGTTTAGCAACTTCATAGCCAGAAGACAAATATCAACGCACAGTAACAAACTACACACCTGACTAAGCCGAAATGAGGCCCTCTTGTCAAGGTGTTCACACATTACTGAAGGCTCAAATTTTATTTCCTGAACAGAACCATAGCAACAGGTGATATTCAAAGATGAAGAGTTCATCAAAAAATAAAGGAAAAGAATCAAATAGAAAGGAAATATTTTTGCTGCTAAATTTGAACCGAATTCAGCCCCTTGCCCGCAGGTAAAATCCTCAGAGCGTTAAACGAGACCCATACAAACTTCATGATTAATGTATAAAACCAACTAGCCAGGACAAGGAGATCAAGACAACGAACCTCATAGACCTCAATTTCTTCTTCAGGAGCAAAACCAGCCATTTGATTTAGCTTTGCCAGAATTTCTATTGGTTTACTAGTGCTCTTCACAAAAAGCCTACCAACATATCTGCAAAAGAATTAAGATACCAAGTTGGAAATTGTCAGGACTTCACTCCTGCAAACTCTTGAGGTGCAACAGGTATGGGGAATGGACAATAACAAGACAGAATTGAGCACCTTAATTCTACTTTCTCAGGATCGTAGAGCTTGAAGAAGAGGAGAATGTCTTCCTTGGTTTTGTCGGGTGGAGCAATTGGCCGTAAATCCTGCAGGTTTCCATAGAGGTTCTTGTAAGCAACTGCAGAGTCGTCCTTTTGTTTTATCTCACACTTAATAACAAAACAACATAAACTTTTAAGACAACATTACCAGGCCCAGTTCTACTTCCAGAAACAACTTTAGTTCAGCATTGTGCGTCTTATTTGACACCTCCCTCAGCTGCCCAACCTACAACCATTATCAATGATGCTTTCA